ACTTTGAAAATATAATCCGAAGTACCAAACAGCAAGTTATTGAGGAAATCCTCAGAGTGGGATGCACTGTATGAGCCACAAAATGAAGGGCGAGCACGAAGGAGCAGACGATGAGCTTCATATGCAAGAAGAAGGCCGAGGAGCAGGTCGAATTCAGTGTCAAAATGCAGAATACACAGGGTAGATAGAGCACCCATGCTCATGGCAAATTTATTACTGTAATAAGTAGAGCCAGGCATCTTGAAAGGAGAATGGAGAGCGTAAGATATACAAGAAAACGGCCTGTATATGCACTTAACGCGCTCTTCCTATGTGGTCACATGACCGTGCTTCTTGGTATATTTCATGCTTCTTAAGGATTTACGTTGCGGTATGCAATCAAATGTTTATTTTTTTTCAAACTCCGCGCGTCTGCAAGTGCGAACAAGTGGGTTCGAGCACTTGCACGCACTTGCAGACAGTTGCGCAGATCTCATCTCCATTTGGTATCTATTAAGGTACATGCTACTTTGCCGAGACACCCCAAAATCTTCCTGCCGTCCTGCAAGTGCTCCTGCCAATTAATTGAATTCACCTTATATGTGCGAGCACAAGGTTGATCTTATCAGCTACTTTCGAAGAGTCGGATATGCATGGATCAAGGTTCGCGTCCATTGCTCCGAACTGGAATTTTACGTATGGAACATCAAGGAAACGAACGTCTTCGGCCTCAATCGCTCATGAACGGCTATTTTTGCCGGGTGTTTGCGTTATTTTGCTCTCACCTTCCGACACTGAATAACGCGATGACGGACATTGTGTTTCGCCCATTTTTTGGCGACCATTCATACCTGCGTGGGTAAACAGGCATGTTTATTCACGCGTGCACCCTGGATAACGCGGTTATCTTCTGGTTACTGCGCTTCGTCTCTGCCAGGTTCGAGGCACGAAATTCTTAACGGCACGCCACTTGTTGTCCTTTTAATGACACAAAAGACCTTGACATACTATTTCCCGCCTTATCTACATGGTCCATAGGACTGCTAGCTATTCTAAGCACTTTAAAGCGCTGCTTTAACACCTTGGGAAGAACGGATAAATATTTGAATTGCCTTGGACCCACGGACACATGGTTCTAACGGGTGCTGTACTTTGGGGTGTTTGCTGATCCTCTGGGCGAATCGTGTTTCTTCTCGGGAGGATTAACCAGTGCGAATCCCATTCAGTATAACCCTGCTCGGTGCTCGGAAATGACAGGTTCCCCAGGCGATTATTACTGAATGCCGCTCTTCGTCGCCTTGTGCGTGTCACTTTGCACAACCCGCATCTCACACGGTGTTTTGACTTCTGATTGGGTGAGAAAGAATCATAGATATGGTCCCTGTTGGAATGAGTAATTATCTTTTAATGATCTCCGCGACAACGCTTACCGATAGGTTCGAACAGTGGAGATTGTTACCTCGTGGTGCCTCGTTGCACGATAAGATGAAATTGCATGCGTGACGAAGGCAAGAAATTGGAAAGTACTCATGATACGTTGCGGAAAGCCGTGCACTGTTGAGGGGATACGATACTACTTAATGTTACACCTTAGCTTGTCGAAGCTCGATATTCAGTTACTCGCGGATAATTTAACGCCCACGGACCTCTGATTTCTGGGCCATTGCTCATGCATGTTCGGCTATTCCTCCATTAGAGCGATACCGGAACCGTACTGCGGCGCTCCGCATAATCTCCCCCAATCATTAATGAAAATGCCCACAGCACGCAACGGAGTCTAAAATTCTACTTCTATATGCTATTACCCTATCTTCTCCTTTGCCTGCTCCTTCGCGAAGCCTCACTGGGATTGGATGGAATCGCACTTTATTCGCTTCAGACTCTTGCCGATGACCCGGATGGTTTTCTGCGACCGCGAGAGAGCGATCTGGATTATGACGAGTGTTCACAGCACTGTGTAACATTGAATGACGCCGTCGACGCAGTTCACATCTCTAAACGTAAATTCGTCGGTGCATGTTCGGAGTCTGTTGTAAAACTTACATCATCACCCTCACTTTCTGTAGCTCATGCCCGTTCAATTGGGTACTGAGTCTCTACTGGCATGTGTGAGCATGTATAGTGGCTTTTGGTCTCCCACTGCTAGAAGAGAACCGGAAGAGATCCTAATGATAATCAGTTCCCATTTGGCGTAGTTCTCCTAGATAAGATGGTCAACCTGAACCAAGTCGGGAGACGTAGGTGAAGATGTAAATTGCTACGCTGATCCTCCGAGTCAATTATTGTCAGCTCTTATCCTAATGACTTATATCAAGTTATGAATACATATTCGATATCATGATTCGGCACGAGCGTGACAATATGCGCCCGTGACAAGCGCGACTCGCGTATGCATCCCTTTGCCGCGCGACGGTTGCGCCTCTTGCAAATCAGCCATGACCAGGATGACCTCCTTTCTTTCAATGCTTCCATTACGAACAAGATGAGACTGCTGGTCATCATGCAGAGGCTTACGTGCGGATGCGTCATTATCTGCCGTTATATCATCGCCGTTCCCCAAATTGTATCTCATCTTAAACTTCCGAGGACGCCGTCTCCTGTCTCCGCTTTTTTCGCGCGTCAGTGGCGTTTTCCAGGTCCAAACTGAGCATCTCCTTCTGCTCAGGCTAGCCCCACTCGTCTCAACTGAATGAATATGCCTGGCTGGACCGCTGATATGAACGAACTCATTTGCGAGTGTATCGGTATGGATGCGTCTATTATTGCGTGCAAATCGGGCACTTTTCTACCGAGTTTGCACTTTTACCGTTTTCTCTCTTCGCTGATCTTGATACTGCAGGCGCCTGACCTGCCCGCGGACTTCTCTCCCTCAGGGGAAGGATCGCGAGATGTGCTGCAGAAGTACACGCCGTTATACGCGTGACCAAATGCATCGTCCAGATTTAGTTCCGTGTCTGTCGCTTTATAATGTCATTCGTCATTGGCTGGTCCTGTTTTCGTATTTCTCTTCGCGCCCGTTATATATCGAAGTTAAAAATTAATAAAATAGTGAATGCCGTGACACAAATGAAGCCAAGCGTACAAAAACTGATGCATTTAAACAGGGATATAAGGCACACGCCGTATGTCAATTCATTTTGTCCCATTCAAATCCTCGCCCTGATGACCATTCCCCCACAAACTTCCTGATCCGGTTTGTATCCCGTGCTTCCTTCGGAGGTTCTATGCGCTCAAATGCTGATCGTGAGCGTCATCGGTTTCGGCCGACAAGTTCTTCTTTACCAATATGCACTCTTACACTAGTGGTAGTCCATGCCATGCCAATGCTTGCACGCTAAATTCTTCCATTTGAAGCTCAGGTGATCGAAGCCTACCTGGATATGCGTGTGTAGTGTCATCGTTGACCTGGATGACCTGCTCTAGACCTCAATTCTCCTTGATCCCAGCAACTTGTAGGAGGGAGGGAGACGGAAGCTCTTGATACTCAACGGCGTTTTTACCTACGATAAGCACCGTACAAGCCCTCTTTCTCGCTCTTTTGGCTTCCCGGTGGCTTGTCTCCGCGAGGCATACATACGTTCGTCCGGCGATTCTAAGTGCACTCCGCCTCCTCGGCTCTTGCCTGATGAAACCTCGATCACACTGGTACTCCAAATCCGTTGTTCGTATCTTCGATGCTTCCTAGCAATATGGCCCCGTTCGTCATCGTTCCCTGGATAAGGAGTCTCGACCCATCCTCCGCATGCTTGATGTCCGGTTTCATAACTCCCGCCCTCTACAAGAGTCCCTTTAATCTGTTTCTAGGAACAATCTTCTTTTGCTTGTATCTTCTCAATTCACCATTCCGTATTTGCCCAACGAGGGGTTTCTGCTCCCGCGAAAGGCAGCACCTGTTCCGCATAAAAGTAACTGGCCAGAAACTTTTCAAAAGGACAGAATGAGGAGAATTTTTAATATTTACTGTTGCGACTCCTCGGAAATTGCAAATATCTCTCCAGCTTTGCATCCTCCCCACGGCGCCCCATTGCCCCAATGCCAACATGATTCAGAATCGGTCATGATAGTTCTGAAATCAATACTAAGTACTTGACATTGCCTTGACTATTTGCAAGATGATTTCCGTGTGCAGGATGAAACACAGAGGGCTATCTGATTCTGAGAGCCTATGGCCCTCCAAACGTAATATGTTACGATGGTACTTCGGACCGGCTGTGGTCACTCCACCCGCATGCGGCATAAAAGCTCTTCTGTGAATGGATTACTCTTCTGCATTATTGCACTTCAAGGAGTCCATTGTCCTGGGATTGTGTGCAGAGGTAAGGACGATTGCAAGGTCTGGATACTAATTGTTGGGGTCAATTACACGGCTACGAAGCGGATTGTCTTCCTTGGGGTTGCAAGAAGCTAGAGGCGATTGAGAAGAGCCATTCCCGAGGGTATCGTCTATCCCCGCCGGTATTTTTGTTTGTGTCTGGCTAACTGCGTCAAGCTCGTGCAGGGTGATCGGTATTAATCAAGAGAAATAACTTTGCAGTCCAGATGGCAACAAAATGTCATTGTATCTGATCTCAAATGCTTGCACAACTCCTCGGCTGAAAATTATGTTCTAGCCAGTGAATAGCAAGGGAATGTGTTCTGAGGATGTTGTTGCATTCTATACATTGCTTTCTGCCTTGCTTTTTTTATTCTTTACATTTAGCCGCTTTGAGTCGTAGTCAGCCCAGCCTCACACGGTCCGTTCTCCAGAAGCTGGCGACCAACATCAAACATTTACATCTTCCGTGATTCCAAGCTAACTATGCGGGGAGTTGGATAATTCTTAACCATGAGGATTTACAGACGACGGGCCGGACTGAATCATGAAAGGGAAGCGATCAGCTATATATTTCGCGGAATCTTTAACCTCGATGTGTAGGGAAAGGATCAAAGTACAAGCCGCCGAACGCTATCTTGGCCAGGCTCGGGTATGGATGCTATGGACTCTAGTTATGTGTGAAAACACGTTGCTGAGGATTTTAAAGTAGGCTTAGTTAGCTCTGACGAAAGGATTGAAACGATGGGGATGGTGGGATTTCTTTCCTTTTGGTTAACTTGGCTGTTTTGATGGCCCTCCGATGCTTCACCGAACTCGATCCGCGGCGTGGGATAGTTGATGGTGTTTGCTATGTCTTTTGTGTACAACCATCGGTACACCTGGAACACTTGCAGACTGCTAGTACTAGACACGTTTTCCTTGGGTTCTTTCTAATCTCCTATATGGGATGACAAAACGTCAGGCACTATCTGCATTGATCGTGGATAACCTGAACCGAGATAAGTATTGGTATTAAAATAGACAACACTTGCTAGGCGCTGCTCATACAGCTCGATAGGAATGTCATAATACAGAACAGTGGAGAACTGAGTCTCAGAAAAATAGTGAGCTGTAGAGTCAAGTCTCAATTGAGTGCATCTCGGTCAGGTGAACTACACGTGTTCTAGTTCCGTTGCGTCGAATGTGTCAGGTCTCAGGAGGGAAAGAAAGTATCGGTGCGCATGCATTAAGACGAATATCGAGTCCTCGGAGGCCACGAGCGGTCTCCGATTGACATGTAATACAATACAATACAAACCATGAATATATCATATTCTATTTACATAGGTCAATTGAGATTATGAGAGAGATAAGTAAGTGGTTTCAGTTGGACTAAGTGCAACCCTGCCACCATGGTTCCACTTCTAGTGTAATTCTGGTGCAGTTCACGACTTACCGAGTGTACCGATTTTGATCAATAAATACTCACCCGTTTAGTTTTCTTCTCCGTCCGGCAGTTCCTGACCAGTTCATCGGCGCAAGCCAAATAGTAAGCTGGGGCTTGCGTGTTATTAGGCAGTTCGATTACTATTTATACAAATATTTCTGTATTTAGTAACCAAGTGATTTGTAACGTGTGTAAACGTCAATTACTTTCTCTAGATCTCTTCTTATCGGGAACGTGGTGAGTCTAAGTAGCTTATGCGTCGTTGAGACTTCCGTTACGCCGAGTTGGCCGTCTCACCACTCTTCACCTCCTGTCGCCGACTCCGGGACTTGTACTCGGCCTAAACATTAACACAATGGCTGATCCTTAGCTCGGTGTTGCTTACGCTATTCCATTATAACTAGGCACGACCTTTGCACTTACTCGGCTAGTGCCATGAAATCTGCCCGGACGGTAAATTCACTACTGATCAAGCTGATGATCGGGCAACGTATCTCCGTCGTATGTTCACACATTTGCACCCACAGGGGCAAGTAAGCTCAAGTGCAGCTTCGCAAATGGAAATGTATATTATAGTAGAGTGAGTCACCGCGCTCGGCATGGTCAGATGAAGAAAACTTGTTTAGCTCGGCATGCATATGTGTGGGATGTTTGTGCATAAAGTCGACCGCTCGGTACGCCTAGGCCCTTTGCTTGATGATGGTTCCGTTCTTCTAGGACCTGGAAGCTTGAAATCGATCTTTGTGTGATTTTTGTTGAATGGTTTCCCGGTCTATGCACTTCGGAGCATCTACCCTTACGAGCTCTAATTTTTAGTTGTTGCTCATGTGGCGGATCAGAGTGATTCTTAGGTTCCGAACTGTGTATTTGCTCAGGAAAAGCATTGTTTGGTTGGTTTCTTGGTGACATCCCAACACGGAAGAGATAGTGCTTTAAGCTTTAAGTTATCGCTGTTGCTGCTGCTGTATACAAGTCTATTCTTTGACCGATGTTGCCACTGCCGCTGGTTATGAATCACTAGAACGAAAAAATGAGAAGTATCCCTCTGCTTCGCTCTCACCAAGAACTTCAACGCATCAGCTTTCCCGAGGGCCAATAACAAATCGGAATGCCGTACTGCACTCGTTTTCTATCTTTCACAGATTGCCGTTTAATATATGTCCTGGTCACATCCGACTTATCAACATCGGCTCCGCATAAAAAGTTTTCGTCGAAAAGATAAGAAGGAAAGAGAATAGAACTTACGGTTGTATGAACGAAGAAGGATTTTGAGTTTCATTCTACAGCCTGAACGCCGCCGTATGCGGGTAGAATCTGGCATGCGTCGGCCCACGTTATGTTCCCCTGTACCAAATCAGTAACAACTGAGATGACTTGGTCGATGTCACCGATTAATTGTCCTGTTGTGTCACGTTCACTACATTTGAGAAATAATGGCATCAGTACGAAGAAACCCCCTGAAAAGCAAATGAAGAAAAGATACCCACCGCAATGTCATGGTCCGTTTCTGCACGGCTATAAAATGGAAGCGAACGTAAAAAAATTAGCCTTCTGACTTTTCGTGCATGAGGAAGGTCATGTGCGTACATGCGAAGTCTAGAGTCAGGCCAAACGGAGTGCCCAACTCGTCATTACGAGCGTAGCGCTTTCCGATGGAAGTGTTGGAATCATCAACGCGTGAGTAGACACCGGCCTTGCGAAGTTTCAGAGCTATCGGACGTCGTCACGTGGCGTCATAAGAGATCACATAGTGTCACCGAAATCCGGAACCGGCGGAATTGTCATTAATGAAGAGCAAGAAACGGGAGGGAAGGAAGAAAGTTGGCCATTTGGAATTAGCAGATGAGCTATGACGATGCAAAAGGAGAATGTGACTCACAGACTTCCCGAACGAGCGGGTCAAACTCTTCTCTGGCACTCAGCGGGACGATGAGCACCTTCGTTGGGGCAATGATAGGAGGAAGCGACAGGACCTAGAATAGTGGTTGCGTTACAGAAAGTCAATCACACGACCGCTTCAAACGCCACTTAATGAAGTGTGTGGGAGGAAGATTAGACGTACTCCGCGTTCAACATCTTGTTCACGGCTCCAGAAGCTGTGCTCGAGGAGGATGTACAGTATACGGCCCAGACCGAAAGATGGTTCAATGACGTTCGGGGTGAACTCTCGAACTGGGAAGATAGGCGAGTTAGTTGGGATCAGCAGTCAGCAGACGCACTCTCGGTGAAGTTGAACAATCGTCATCGCTCACTTGATTGCTTAATTGTCTTGCGCTCGATTACCAGATGATCCGGTATGAGAGTGAACTCCTTGCCGTCCGCCGATATGACGGTCGAACTGCACCATAAGCGGACATAAAATTCAGGGGAAATTCCCACTTTATCCGACTAGCAGCGCAACACACTTACCCTTGCGCGAGTTCTCCCTGTATTTTCGCCAAACCTTCTTCGGTCAGGTCACTGATAGCCTTCTGGATGGCAGCGGAGTCGCGACCGAATGTCTTCCCGAAGTTCTTCTTATTGAACTCCGGTACGAGTTTCTCGGTCACGATAGGTACTTTCAAAGCCTGGCGTACGACAAGCGGATGGCCAGTCTTCGCCGAGTGAACAGAAAGATCATACGCCGCACGATCCGCACAACCCACACATTCTGTCCAGCCCGTAGCGTTATGGATCTCCGCATCCCAACAGTCTGTCGCATAATGCGCCATCTCATTCGCCATATGCTGCCGGAAGCGCAGGCGCGCTGGGTCTATGCCGATCTTGAGTAGGAAGAGCTGCACTCGCGCAAGGAAATAGCCGAGAGTCTCGTTCGCAATTACGCCGCTTGCGACTGCTTCATCGACCGTCATGTGTGTTAGGTCTGTTCGGCCACTTGCTTGTACAGCCCTGTCCAATAAAGCAAGCTTGACGTCACGCACATCCGAGAAGCGTTCATGCCTTTTGTCCTCGGGATCAACGTAATGCTCGATCTCGGCCATTGTGAACTCGCGCACACGCAACAATCCAGCTCGCGGGGAGATCTCGTTTCGGAAAGATTTGCCGATATGCGCGGACGCGAAGGGGACACGGCCATTGTTGAACTCCAGGAGGCGAGAGAAGTTTAGGAAGTGGCCTTGCGCGGTTTCAGGCCGAAGATAGCTGACCAAAATGCTGTTAATGCGAATTGTGGAGCAAGATAAAGACATAGACTCACCCAGGGTGTTGTCCTGTAGGACCAATACTGCTGGCAAACATGAGGTTGAACTGCTGGGGTTCACCGACTTCATTGCCAGTGTCGGGATTGGTGATGTTATGTTGTCGACATAGTTGACCGAGCTCGGGACCAGAATAATTATCCAACTGGAAGCAGTATTATTAGACTTCTTACGAATCCAACGGAATGTTATGACAGAATTGGGAGGTTGGAAACAATGGTAGTAAACACCAGCAAAATTGTTGGGAAATGACAATTCCAGAAGCACGTGTACACAACTTTCATGCTTCGAAAAGCAAAGCATCGTACTCACCTGGGCAAGAATGCTCTCGTACTCCTTTACCACAGCGTCCTCAAGTTTTACAGCTGTCGTCTTGATCTTCTTTTTCCTCTTCTTGTCATCTTCCTTGACTGGACCAGCAACTTGCCCACGCGCCTCCTTGTCACCCACCAAACGTGCCTCAAGAACAGCCTTTACAAGATGGTCTGCCCGCAGAACATCTCCGGTTTTCGTATCTTTAACCATCCAATCGGCAAAACGTGCAACATGTCCAGACGTCTCGAAGACGGGAGCGGGAGTCATAATAGTAGTATCAAGCTCTAGCATGTGTTCCTCTACGATGAAATGCCGACGCCATTCTGCGATTATATTTGCCTGTAAAGCAGAGCCTGGTGGGCCGTAGTCGTATAGACCGGCCACGCCACCGTATATTTCGAAAGCAGGTGCATAGAAGAAGCGTCTATTGAGAAGCGCATCGAGACGCGTCTTGTCAAATGGATGCGCCGTTTTGTTTACGGTTGTCGCTGCCATATCAAAGTGAGTATACCGCCGTAGACAAGAACGAAAGTTAGATATGCGTTGGCTTGCTGCTAGTCGTGGACGACAGAGGGAAGGAAAGGATATACGATGCTGCATGCGCTCGAGTCACGGACGGACAACCAAACCGAGAATTTATTTACTGTACTGGCTTCGTATCTCGTCGATCATCCGCATTTTGCCGAATTTATTCCAGACAGAGAAAACAGAATAAAATACAAGTCTCACAAAATACTTTCTTCACGCATCTTATCATCTCAGGCTGGATATATGGACCTAGCTGTACTAGAACTGGTCCTTGTTTAAGTGTATGTCACTCAAAAACTATGTATGAACTTTGAGGACAGAAAACTTTCCTTTTTGGCCGTGCCTTCAAGATTCACATCTTCCGTCTGGACAGATATGACAGATATAATCCAAGGAAATGTACATAGTATACCGAGTCTCAAAAGTCACATCTCAACTCTCCATGCTCCCATCGGCACTCTCGTCGTCCGGCTCCAGTAACATGACAGGCCAATCGTACATCTCTCCGCCATACGCAACCCGACCGCGTAGAAACTCGCGGAATCCGGAACGAATGTACATCGGCGTAGCATCAAGTGTCGATTCGAGTAACATTGGAATACCTTTAGTTGAGTCTGGACCAAGTTTCTTGGATAGTTCGATGCAGTGACGGAGGAGAGCACCGCCAGCTCCGATACCTCGGTACGCAGGGTGGACGAACAAGAGTTCACTTTATGTCGTTGGTTCAATATTTGAAGCAGCACCATCAAGAGTAGTTAGCTTCAAGATACTAGTAGCATGAATGATATTTATACGTACAGAGAGATATAGACTCTCCTGTGTCGTTTTCCAATTCTTTGCGTCCTCGAATGACTTCCTTTACGAACATCCTCCAAAACGTATAATCCGTGCCGTCGGCTTCGGAGCCTGATATCAACGTCGATAATCCTTTGAGCGTCGGTTTCACATATTTCTTATGTATTTCTAACGCAGTTTCCTTCGCGCCTTTTGGACCAGAGAAGGATTGTTTGCTTTTCGGTAGCCTCAAATACGCCATCCCTATAGGAACGTTCCGATTCTCATTCTCCGAGTCCTGCTTAATTTCAGCCTTGATCATCACCACCGCCTCGTTTTTCAGCAACTCGTCGTACTTTCGAAGTGTTGACTCGAAATCTGGCCAGCGGCGCACAGGAATGCCTTTCCGCACTAAGTCTGCGCGAAACGGATGTATTCGTCGGGCAAGTGCATCTCTCGTGTTTATCCCGGTAAAAGTAAGTAGCTCGGCTTCGACGAGTGCTGGTAGATCCTCAGGGGTAACCAACGAGGTAACTGGTTCTGGTTGAGCAGTTGGAGCAATCTTGCTCAATCCCATCTAATTTGACTCGCTTCAAGCGTTTCGAACTTCGAAGTAGACGACGTGGCCGACTGTGCGGTATTGACAATGTAGGAGTTGAGGATAAAAGTAAGGTTCGCGACGCTTGATCAGAGGATTGCACTGGAGGTCTTCACTTTCGACAGCAGATGCAGATGCAGTGCTAAAGAATCAGATCGGGTTTGGGCGGAGAGCTCAAACAATTTGGTTGCTTGAACTGTTACTGATTGCAGTGTGATTTCCGACAAACACTTTCTTAAAGGTGACTCTAGGACATGGATATATAGTATTATATACATAAGATTCATACTCATGCTATTACTCAAGTTTTAAACGATAGGAGTGGATCAGGATCAAAATAGCAAATAAAAGAATTCTAATCAATTCTGAGAATGATACCTCAAAAATCTAAAACTAATTCATAGTTATCTGTTAAAGAGCTTCTCAAACAAAGATGATTTTACAATGACCGGTTAAGTGAGCTTTACCTTGCAAGCTACTGAACCAAATTTATTTATTTATATTTATTTTTTAAAACATTACTTCACAAGAAGTATAACGAAGGCAGACGGTGAGGTCATCAGTACATTTTGGTATTGTGTATACCTGTCAAATCGCTTCCTGCAGATAAATTCATAATTTGAGATGTTAGATTGTCTGTTCAGTTCCTTGACGTTTGGTCGACGATGTTGTCCCAGAACGACTGTAGGAATTTCCACCGAAGAAAGGGGTTGCACAGTGCTTTGCGTTGCAAATTGAATGTATGAATTCTTTTACACATCAATCTCCTGTAATACCACGCCCAAATTGGGGGAAGTAATTGGAATGCGTGTTAATGTGCACCATAAGATAATCTGATACAATATAAAGGATTTCAAACTTGTTCCAGGAATGAGAATGGAAGATACTCACGAAGGTACAGCACAGTAACAGTTGTGCATCTTAATCGGTCAGTCTCGAAAAGATGAGAAACGTCCTTTGGGCTCCGAGGACCAGTCTTAGAGGATGTATTCAGTGGTGTTTGAGAGTAATTTATACTGTAGAATCTGGAATTAGAAGGTAGCAAAAACGTCGAAATCAACGCAAGGAGATAGTAGGGGAGCTATTCTTGCCGTTTAAATCTAGGAAAACCTTTATAAGACCTTGTGAGATCCTAAATCCACGAAAGGTGTTGTAGCTGTGTCCTCCTTGGGAGTTGGGACCTCGTGTCACATAACTGGCTGGCTGTTCAGTATCGCCTCTCTTTGCTTGGCAAGTCGCCACGGAACGGCTCCCCATCGCTCCCGAGAGATTTACCACCGTGTCATCTTTATAAGATGTTTCCCATAAAAGTCAGCAACTGTCTTAATGCGATATAACTCTGAGAGCGATATCCCATGGCTGTGGAACCCCGTCTGATACTTAATTGGGCAGAGATGAAGCACCGGCGTTGATTGAACGCAACTCTGACGTTAGAGGGTGGAATGAAACGTGTGGGAATGGATAAGGCCGACAAGCCGACGCACGGTCAGTGTTAGGGCGAGAGATGAGCCGTAGTTACCACATCTAACCCGTGCTCCCACGTGACATGACGAATCCGATAACTTACTCGCCCCGACCGCTCACGACTTTCACTCTCATCTCTCTCTTCACTTTTGACTACCACCACCACTGATCCAAAATGTCGACCTCCCTCGACCAGCTCAAACAGACTGGGACTGTTGTCGTCTCAGATTCGGGTGACTTTGAGTGTGAGTTGTCCTGCTTTCTGATAGCATATAGTCACCTCGCAACGAGTTCTCCGCTTGCGGCACTCGAGATATGTTACCACAGTGATGCTGACCATGCTCTTATTCCAACAGCTATCGATGTATACAAGCCACAGGTATACATCCATTTGCGTAGGGTCGTAGTCAGTTATACTAAGATGACGTTGAACGATAGGATGCCACGACCAACCCATCGCTCATTCTCGCAGCGGCCAACAAGCCTGGTTATTCTCGCCTGATCGATACCGCCATTAATGCTGCAAAACAGAAGGGCGGAAGCCTCGATAACCAGGTCGAAGCTGCACTCGATCGATTGGTGCGTTTATCCACTTCCCATCGTTGGCGTTACATCATCACGGACCACTAACTGAAATGGTCCCCCCTCCCCAACAGCTTGTCGAATTTGGCAAGGAGATCCTCGCTATTATCCCTGGTCGTGTTTCAACAGAGGTTGATGCTCGTCTATCCTTTGACAAGGAGGCTACCAAGGCGAAGGTATGAGATCCGTCGAGTCCTTTGATTAATGCGTGTAAATCTCATGCGGCCGTCACTTCGACGCCCTAGGCCAAGGAACTTATTGCTCTTTACGAATCCGTTGGCATCAAGAAGGACCGTATCCTCATTAAGATCGCATCGACATGGGAGGGTATCCAAGCTGCTCGCGAGCTTGAACAGAACGACGGCATTCACTGCAACTTGACACTACTCTTTGGTTTCTGCCAGGCTGTTGCGTGCGCTGAGGCTGGTGTTACCCTAATCTCTCCCTTCGTAGGACGTGTGAGTATTTATATCTTTATGACAATCTGTAGTGTTCAGCTCTGAACACCGTTGATTTCGTAGATCCTTGACTGGTATAAGAAGAGTACTGGAAAGAACTACGAGGGTGACGACGACCCTGGTGTCCAGTCCGTCAAGCGCATTTTCAACTACTACAAGCAGCACGGATACAAAACCATCGTCATGGGTGCTTCGTTCCGTAACGTACGTACCATCTTTTTATTCATTTATACTGGTTGTATGTCTGACTTCGTCCCGTAGAGTGGCGAGATCAAGTCCCTCGCTGGTATTGACTTCCTCACGTACGTATATGTTCCAGTCGCCCCATTTTTTTCATTAACGTCTCGTTCCTATCGTATTCCAGTATCGCACCCGCTCTCCTCGAAGAACTTAAGAATTCAACGGACCCTGTACCAAAGAAACTTGACGCTGCACAAGCTGCACAGGCAAACCCGATCCCTAAAGTTTCCTTCATCGACAACGAACCTGAGTTCCGCTGGGAGTTACTGCAGGAACAGATGGCGTTTGATAAGCTCCATGAAGGTATCAAGAAGTTTGCGGATGATGCGGTGACGTTGAGGAAACTTCTGCGCGAGAAGCTGTCTGCCTAAGTGCTAACGCCAAAACGATGGCAGTCTGGTGAGGCGTAATTGTAGAACGCGAATTCTTGTATCGCTGGGTGCATGCATAAATGCAAACCAATAGAACGCTAAGTATAGTTTCGGAGCGATTCCATGTAGCGAGGCTGAAAACAATACGAATAATTTCATGTGCTACTTACTGTTTACAATTCATCATCCTTGCAAACTTTTGAAGCGCGTAGAAAAGCCATCGGCTCAGAACTACTTTGGACACCAAGCTATGACACTCTTGAATCCTACGACATCAATGTGCAAACCTGAAATCCAACCTCCGATTTCCAACATCCTTCGTCATTGCCAAATAATGCGACTGCTCTTTAGGCGTCATCTTATCCCACACCCTCTCCCTCTGTCTATTCCTCCACATATAATACAACTTCGTGCCGGGATACAGAACGCACAGATTCACTGCACTAATGGTGATCAATATACGATTACCTCGATGGTACCGTGGTGCGTCATCAGCGCGATAGATATTGGCTGAGATGATTGCTGATGCCTGAACGAACATGTTGTAGAGTGAGGCATTGACAGTTCGGCTGGCAACTGCGCCGCTGTTACGTGAACACCAGCCAACTTGGATTGGATGTGTATATGGATAGGCTAGGAGCGCTGTTGCTAGGCCCTGTGAAATGCATTAATACTGGACATCGTTTCGTCGATACGAATAGGAATGATAATTACGTAGAATAACCAAGGACTTGGATTCTCAGGAAGACAATATATCGCGATAAGGAATGGTAAAGCCCAAAGGTCCTCCAGCATTGAGACACGCGCACGGTCATTTACTGCCTCAGAGAGGAGTGTAACAAGAAACATGCTAATCAAGCCAAGCACTGTTGAGGGAATCACTAGCAGATTGGTCTCAAACGTGCCGAACCTTGGTAGAATATTGGCATCGTTAAACAAATTGGAGTTGCAGGAGGAGAATTTTTGCACACCCTAGGTTCCGCAGAGAGAGCGTGAGATATGCATTAGGTGGCGCTACTGGAATGCCGAACGTCAGTCCACTGAACAAGAGGAATGGATTGTCAGCGAACGGAAATTAATCCGATTGCAGATTCTGAACGTACAGGATGTACACCGGCCATAGATCATAGTCACAAACGGCCATCCAGAGGCGTTTAAGCGACAGACCCTCTCGATTATGCATGTCACCTTTTGTCGGGTCGTCTCGTAGGATACGTGAAACGATAATTGTTTCCTCTCGCTCGGTAAACCAGCCATTCGGACGAAACCACGTGCGGCTCTGCGTTGGCGAAGGTGGCATCATGAAAAAGGTGCTTATGGCAATGGCAAGTGTGATCGAACCCCTGTTATTCTTCAGTCAATATAATATCAAAGATCTCGAAATCGATGAAGAAAGGATGATATGTACTCGACCAGGAACAGCCATCGCCAACCTGCTTTCCCAAGGTGTCCACGCAAGTGCAGAACACCATAGGCAAGGAAACTTGCAGCTATCGAGCAGAGATTTGATGACATCCAGAACAGTGAAAGTCGGATTGGGAGTTCTGTCTTAGTGTAGTAATCTGGGTGACAAGCACGTTGTTAGTAGAGTGGTCAGTGACAACGGATACGTAGAGGATTCACAAGAGAGGTAAAGAATCAAGTCCGGGATAAATCCGCCTTGAATGAATCCAAGAAGCGCCCGGCAGGCGAGAAAGCTTGCTCTCCCTGTCAAGAAGAATTGACCCATGGTGACGATAGCTAGTCCAACGATGAGGCTCAGGGACTGTCATTCACAGGTAGTGGGATGAGGACATACACCACATGCACATCTGCATTGGAATCCAGCGATCAGGGCCAAGCTGGGAATGGGTTACTTTTAACGCGTCGCGATTGGTAGCAAGAGAATCGTACGCGTTTGGAAACAAGTTGAGAGGGTAACTCCGCAGCTAGGAAGGAGAGCCTGAATAGCGAATTCCCCAAATTATAGTCATTTGTGGTCATGCGTAGGTCTCCAAGGATATTGTCCGTGTTTGCTTGGGAAAGGTTATTACGATCCAGATTGAGCTGAACAGAGTAACTCAGGCTCGAGAATGGTATCTGATGATAAGTATTAAAGCTTACAGCTGAAAAACTGATTGCAGCCCAAAGCATGACTCTCCAGTCGATCTTTCTGACAACTGCCTGCAGAAAACGCTATTACCGTTCATATACGGGGAACAATAACAATGTAGGGCATACACGTTCTTCAGCAAAAGTCCAACGCGCATCAGGATCAAATCGATGCAAGTTTTCGTATTTCTCTGTCGGCCAGTAATGCTTCGCCAGAACCGGATCATCAAATACACTTCGGCGCGTCGCAATACTACCGAGGTCCGCAGGCTGGAGATGCTTGCGACGGAAAATAACGTCCATAAAGCGGGGTTTCTCGTCAATAGGATCCTGTAAACCGTCATCTACACGAACGGAGTCCCCACTTGATGTCTTTGTAGCCGAGTACAGCTCATCTTTAGAAATGGAATTAATACTAGAGGAGAACGGCGAGGAACGGCGCGGTTGGTCTGCGGGAGTAACGGTCGCGCCGTCCTGGATTAGGGTCATGGTGGATTAAGAGAGGTGTAGATAACTGGTGGGAGGGATAGTAGGACAACTGAGATGCAGAGACACTTAAGTAGAGCTAAGGAGCATTTGATAGCTGGATATCCAGCAAATTGTCCCTGATACGCCATATTCTGCCATTGGCAGCAAGTCCAACGGAAGCGGATAATAAGAACAGGCACGGCACAGTCGCTAAGACAGGCCGGCATTCGTATACATATGGTAAAGAAGTATTCAAGCACAAGGAATAGCCTGTGGATAAGAGCACGCAGACGCTGGCGTGAATCGCGCAATAGCACTCCTGACGGTAGCCACCATACATTGGCTTTGATTTATCCCAGTGAAAGAGTCTTCTTATCGGAGGGGAGTACAGTAAATTAAGAATATTTGAAACGTTAAAAATTCGACGAATTCGGGTTTTTCGAGCTGGATCAAGACAATGAGACTGAATAATACGTAACGGCTTTGACCGATAGCCTGTTACCATGAGGAGCAACCACAGTACACAGTAAGTACACGGGAAATAGGACATATAGTTTCGTAGCTTTGTTACACCTTGAGATTGCCTGGTTTGCGCTGCGACATATTGGGCGATACAAAAGCAAGGTAGTGATTGAGCGCCTGTTTGCTATTTCGTCTTGCTCCCACAGTATATCCTGGCTAGGTGGGATCGAATTGCCGTTCCGTCGGTTTGCCGGGACGAGGATAAAGGTTAAAGAGAGAGAAAGGTGAAATTCGTCAAACAGAGCCGGGATGACGCGACACGAGTCACACGACACGAAATGCTTCGCACGTGATCCAGTACATTCGGGTACCACATGACACTCTAGAGTACTGTGTGCCACAGTAATAGCGGCAATTACTAATAGCCTTTTCTTTTTTGCTCTTTCAGCTATCACTGTAAGCGAAAATAGAATAATTGTTTTTATTAAATCATCAAAAAAGATCGCGACCCACGGCGTGATGGTGTGTGACAATACCTCAAGCGTGTCGACGAGAAATAAAAATCGTTTGTACTTTGCAACGTTCAGTGATCTTGGTTCAGTGAGTGGAAGTCTGGAAGACCAAAACGCCCTGTTTGTCCAGGGGCCAGAGAACAGTGATAACAAAGGCGAGGAGATGGAAGGGAAGACCAGACCTAGTTCACTGGTGGCAAGAGAAGGCTTGTCTGAATCTTGTGTCTTCATTCATGAACGCCCTTACTTACTTAAGTTTCCGCTGTTCAAAATCCGAAACGCAGAGGTGATGGGCCAATACATCAGGCGCCGACATAGTCAGAAGCCTTCCGAAAAGGCCACAGAGTCAGTCTTCACTCACTTATCCACTTGGCTTATTCCTCACATAAGCATGCCCCATATCAGTGCTGGGCTCCCATCTAGTGCATCTGAAGGACCTGCATCAGGCTCTGCGTTCAATGGTTCTGTTCACACGCCTGACAATGACGAAGTCGAGAGCCAATCTGTCCCCAATCCTAATGCTGCTACTGAGCAACCTCTAACAGAGGAGGCCGCAATGCGCCACGTTACGTTTTGGCGCAATGGTTTCAGTTTCATGGACGGACCGCTCCTGAACTACAATGATCCTGCTAATGCAAAGATCCTCCATATGCTTAACCAAGGGTAAAATCCAGTCTCATTGGACAGCATAGACTATATTCTAAAATATATTCTGGTATATCCAGGCAGGCACCAGCCGATCTCTTGAATGTCATTAACGGACAGCTCGTCGAACTTCACGTGGTTCGCCGCATGCAAGAAGACTATACTGTACCTGACTGTAGAGGTGCAGTCCAGAACTGAGCGTGATGTTAATGAGTGTGGGACTCTGTCCCCAAGTAGGTTTAGGCATGAGTTTGGGGATAGGCTGGGATAAGTTTAGGATTAGGAAGTAACTCATATATTTTGTGGAGAGTGATTTGAGCATAGGACTTAGAAAGATGCTGATAGAGACCATAGGGTCATACCTGTCCAAAAAGGTGCTCCTTTCCTTACGCCCAAACTAGCCAATTGCGGAGTAAGAAATTTCTGTTATTTTCCCTCGCGAAACTGAATATACAAATCACTGCATGCCAAAGAAAGATGAAGCATCTACACCCCGTTGAAATCTACAATAATGGAAGACAAAAGAGTGCATTTAATCCGGGAGAATCACAAACGACGTCCGGTTCGGGATCTCTGTGTTTGATGCCAGCAACGTCAGGTTCCCACCGTCACCCGTGCGTTCAAATACAAGTACTCCCGCCGAGCCTGCAACACCGCTCGCGACCAAGAAGCGATCATCATCACCAAAGAATTCCATTCCACGAATCTGGTCAAGTCCCGTAAATACGTATCCTGCGAGATCGACTGTACCAAATGGATCACGCTTGAAGATTGTAATTGCATCACCTCGCGAGTCCTGAGTACCCGTGTTACGATTCGACGTGTAGACGAACGATCCATTGAATGTATCCGAGACGGTCGGGATGAGAATCTCGCCTGCAGCAAAAGCAGCGCCTGCCGGTGGGTTCGGAGGAACGATAGAAACGTTGTTAATAAGCGTCGAAGTGCTGTTTGGTTCTGCAGGAAGAAGCTGCGTGGTTAAGGTGCTGGCTAGCTCGTGCAGCGTGTAGAGGTAGCCATCTAAGCAATATGTCACGGTAAGAATTTGGACATCTGGAAGCATATGTTTTGGGTCTGCTGACCTGCAAGCGCGATATGACGCGGCCCGGAACCTGACGGTTGTTCGATGAGACCTTGGATCTTCCACTGTCCCGGAGTATCCGGAGATTGCTTGACGAGACGCCAAATCTTGTCCGCGCCCTACGCATTTCATTAGAAACATGCACGCTAGAAGAGATGAAAGGAACATACAAGGTCCGGGACGAGCACCTCGTCGCCGTGCTCGACGGCCATATGTGGGTGAGATACAGGGGCCGGGAAAGCAATCAAGCCTGCTGACGAGGTGTCGAAATGCAGTGGATCGGACGTGGTCGGAATAATCATGCCATTTCCTGTATTATACTTCCCCAAATAACTTCAACGGCGCTTCCATTAAATCGCATTAAATACACTCACATTCATGATTGCGACCTGACCAGTGCTGAGAGGCACTGTAAATGCTGGAGAATCTCCACCAGATGCGACCGTTGAAACTTGTGGGCTCAAAGTTCCTTCACTATCTATTACAAAAGATTGCAAAGCACCAGGCGAATTCTCGTTAACAGCACTATAAAAGCCAACGTGTCAATCCGGACTTGTCGCTGAAAGAGACATATACGGACTCACTAAAGGATACTGCTATTTGTCGGGTGGAGAGATATCCACGACGGGTTCCCGCCCGTCTCAGACTGTCCAGCAAGACTCAGAGCATTGTTGTCCGAGTCAAAGATGTATGTCATAATGAAGGCGCTGTAGCCTCCGGCAAGAATAGTGAAGTTAACCATGGCCGTCCGGTCCGCAGAAATACCGTGAAGTAGGATGTACGCTGCACGCAATGAGCTCGTTTTATATCTTGTGGGCAATCTCAAATTAGAACCCACATCACAAGGCTTTTATTGTCCGGGCCTTCTGGCGAGTGATTCGGATATGCGAAAGAAGTCAGAGGAAGGAGTGCTGCAGCCGTCAGATAGGACCGCCGTCCGCGGAGACAATATTAAGGAAAGTCGGTGAGCGCAGCTCGTCGGCGTTCTTTGGATGAAGGAAGTAAAGCTACGTGGCTTGTGGGGCACTCCATCTTCGTTTAAGTATCCGAGGCTTGGCCGACCATGCTTGTCTTTGGTTGGAAAAGAACAAAACAAAAACGTGTAGGCGCATTACAGACTATCGACGGATTTGGCTGAGCGTCGATCGGCAAAATTGATCATCAGATCCGTATTCAGCCATCAATCTAACCTTGTTTCATTGCCGATGGTGGTCTGAGGCCTTTAGATTTGTGGTTCACTCTATCAACTTAGCTGAGGCTCAGACGTTGATGGTGAATTTCCGGGCACCTGCAATATCCCTGGAAGAGACTCGGCGGGATCTATCAACTGCACGAGTTATTTTTGTGCTTTGGTAGGAGGGTATTGCACGGAACCTCCGAGGTAAGGGAGACCGAAGTGGATATGCTCTATTGATAGAAAGCAAGTATAGACTATAAACTACCCACGGATCTACACTGTCCTTTGTTTCCTTAACTACAACGATACATTAAGTATTGGAGGATAAAAGGTGGTGCCCGTGGAAAGATAATGTTATTTCCTATTTTGGTGACGCCATTCATAGCAACTGCACAGTTAGTGCGTGCTGCACCATCTGGTCCATAACTTTATACACACTTGGATGTGAAGAAACGTTGGCCAAAGTATGCTCAGAAACACTTCTTGGGGGTATAAAGGAAAAGACAGGTGCAATAGTAATCAGTATACCAACAGACTGAATTGAAACAGTAGGGTCTGATCTTACTTTATCAGCATCCAATAATTAATACAATTTTCTCCCTAACAGAGGAAGACTCGAGGGAGTGAGTCTACAAAACCTTAAAACCACATGCTCCCGAGCAAAAAGGGCCAAGGACATCCAGGAAAAGAAAATTAGGATTAAAAGAACTGTGAGAAGGTTGAAAAAGATATGTGCTGCCACCACGCTGGATTGAACAACGGACCTCACCATGTCAAAGGATCTCTCCCTTGCGGGGAGATTCTATACGAGTGGCGCGCTCTACCACTGAGCTATAGCGGCCATTATGTATCAGGGTTGGTAGGCTCCATCGCCTCACGAAATATATGGGCTCGGATATCACTTCAAGTACAGACAGTCTAATTTAATGGAAAACATTCTTATGCCACAAAACTCGGGTTTTCTACAATGGCACGTCTGACCAATTTAGCAAGATAACTGTGGGACCGCTACTATGTAACTCAAAGCAAAGAGAAAGGTTACCCTATATACACAAACACGTGCCTCTATTAGACTGCAATTCACATTTGACACAAGGCAGCACATCGTTGGATCCTGCTGTTCATCCTTCACGGCGAGTATAATTGGCACAATCTGATATTTATGACGGCTTCTGGGAGCCCGATTTCTCCGCGAGGAGTGTAAGGAATCCATCAGGGTCGTCCCAGTGCCACTAAATGGAGAACAGTTTGTGCATTGGATCGAGTTCACAGGAGCCTACGAGGAAAACTCACAAAGTGATTCACGCCTTCTACAATTACGAGGTCCACTGGCCGCCTCTTATCCCCGATATGCGCAGCAATGTCTGATTCCAGTGACCACGCAGACCATTGTGTACTCCATGGAGAGTGCGTTCCGTAGAGATAGATCACATGGAGCTCGGGAAGAGGGATGTCGTTTGCGTTCGCAGAGGGATCAGACGAAACCTTGGAAGTAAAGAACAAGGAACCAGAGAGCTGGTCATAGATTGTCTCAGGTTGAACGATGCCGTAGAATGCCTTCTCGTAAGGGTGGACGTCAATAGCAGCAGCGAAAGCTTCAGGTTCGATGTTCATGTATGATGCGGCTTTGAATGTAGCTGCATCAGCAGGGGTGGACCCCAGGACTGGTGTAGGCAGAGCGAGCTGTTCAAGCGTGCGTGACTCTTGTGAATCGGAAGGTAGGCTGTAGTATGGATGCGTGAAGTAGGACGATATCCATGCGACAAAGGCCTTGTCGTGATCCTGCACAGGGATTTCGGGATCACGGAAGGGATGATAGGCGCCCGGAGGGTGCGGGTAACCAAGTGTGGTATATCCAGAATCTATTTGATATTTAGCAGAGCTTGAGGGAAGTTGAGCCTCTAAAACTTACCATATATGATGAAATTCTTCAAATACGGTTCAAGCTTGCTAATCAATTCATTGGGAAAGCTGGGAAGGTGTCGAAGAAATGCCAGTGTTGTGAGGCTACCCAATGACCAACCAAGGAGTGTCAGTCCCCCCGCAGTTCCACTTGTACCTCGCAGTGGAGGAACCTTTAGTTCATCGATAACCCATTCAAGGAACCTCGCAATTTCAAGTCCGCGAGCGTGTAAGAACCGCTTATGATCTGCGGAGTCCTTAGAAAAGAGTTGAGCAAGCTCTGCATGCGAAAGAGGTGTTGAGTTGGTATAATCCCTCCGGTTAAGTGCAATGATTCTCAAACTATGGGACGAGGCGAGAGGCAAAATGCGAGTGAAGATCTCTGTCGGGACACGTTTGTTGTCAGATCAAATTGTCAAAGCCAGTTGCGAGCTAGAGTGGAAAGCGGATCTACCCCACAGTGCTTATCTGAGCAATCAGAACATGACATCACTAGTACTCACGAGAATTGTAAGATAGACCATGGACAAAGACAATTGTTGCGTATGAATCGCTTGCAGGTGGTCCAGAATCGATGAGGGCAAGAGTGGTCCCAGTATCATCAACAGGTGCTTTCTGCATTGTCGCCATGAGGGGATTGATCAAGGAATTGTTCCATGCGAACGATGTAAGATGTGTCTGAGAGACTTCAGCTAGATTCAGTGTCTCCTGACCAATATAGCGCTACAGAGTTTGTGTTTCCGCGTAATCAATGCCGCCGTAAAACTTATGCAAAGTATCTCTATCCCATAGATGATAAGGTGATACAATAAGTGCCCGAGCACAATGGTTAGTTGTGTGTCGGATACCTCGGTACTCTGGATGTTGTTGGATGGATGGGAAGTCCTTGAGATTTGCGGGGAGGACGTTTGTGAGAATACTCCGCGCTCTCCGACGGCAGGGATAAGTTTCTGTAGTTTAATGTACTTAAACTCAGTTCCTGGCCTCAATTTACGCAAAAAGAGGCGTTATAGTGAGCGTTGGCAATCACTCACTCCCTTATACGTGGAGATGGTGGATCGACATGCAGAGTGCTGAGGTCAGGAAACAAAACAACACGGTTAATTAAGACTTTGTAGGGCAGGTGCGCAGACATTCTAATCGCTTTGCCGAAGACTTCTGGTGTCCATTAAACTACAGCGGGTCAAGGGAAGACCGTCCGCAGCAGGGATGATTGCTTATGGAAAGATTGATCCTTAGATGGTCCGCGGAACGCACACGTCGCGCGTGACTTGGAATTTATGCCTCGCGACCACAGCCCGTGCTTCTTGTCTTCTGCTATAAAATCGTGTCTCTCTTCATCCATGTCTCTGCCTCGTAATTTCACATCATGAAGCGATCGCTCCCGTCTGCGTCTGGCTTCTTGCTTCCCGAAGAAATTCTCGAACATATTATTTCTCTGGCACTCTCTTCTGACTGTCCTGCCGATCCACACGCGCCCAAAGCTTCTGCTCTTTCATTATTACTGGTCTGCAGGACATTCGATCGTATTACGAGACCTCTGCTGTATAGCTCTTTACACCTTCGTACACGTAGGCAGTCCGACAGGCTTGCAGAAATCTTGACTGCGCAGCCTGCACTTTGTGCATATATTCGCTCTATACGCGTCGATGGACCCTCTTCCAGTCGGGCGCTACTTGTTGCCGCCCATATCCTCTCTAACTCCTATGACTGCTCCAACCGTGTTCTCGATGTACTGGATGTCAGACTAGTCGACGAACGCGGCCATCTCTCTCATCGAGCTCTCACTGCATGTCAGGCGAAACAGGACCTCGAGCAGCTCAATTCCGCGCTCCGCGATGTACCGGACACAAGGCGTTTAATTATTCGTCAGGATGGATATCTCAGTTGCAACACAACTGTTTCATTCATTCACGCGCTCACCTCGGGCATCCGACATTGGCATAGCTTGGTCAGTGTTATTCTGCCTGTCTAAATTGTGCATGGCGCCATGGCCGCGTGCTCGCCTTAGTTCCCGGGGCATGTATACTGACACCCGCTTCCATTACTGTTTTACATGCATTCTATCCGATGTCACGCCGCGGTAACTCAACGCCGACTTGCGTTTTCGTAGGAAACCGTCGATTTGCGAATGAGGCCGCCGACTCCTATGCCATCACTAGGCCAACCTCGGCCTGATCCGTTCGCAAAAGCACTGTCTGAAGCTCCTAACTTGAGAGTGTTGAGAGCAAAGCAACCCACATTACTCAATTCATTTTTATTGGACGTCGCGAACAATCCTTCGTTGCAACGAATCGAACTCGTCAATTTCAGCTCCGACCTGTCAGATTTGGATTCGCATCCATTTTTCTCCCGTCAATTGCCCTTCATTCATACCGAGCGACATCACCATCGTCTCGCTATTTCTCCGGCACTGCATGCACCATTGCCGAGATATCCTCAACATGCCGCACGGGTGTGTATGCTTACATTCGGGGATTTCGGCGTCGATCCGGAAATCCTTGACGCTGCCACAACAAAACTCGAAATGCAAATTGCGGGTGAGCCGCAAACACTGTTCGCAAGCCAGATCAGTGCACACCCGCGCTTGTGCTCACTTGTTCGTGCGGGACGTCTGCAACTTATTATTGACCGAATGTTAATGGAGCGAAGTGAGCGTCGTTTGCGCGGAGATAGTTGCGAGGAAACGAGGCATGATACTGCAAATGCATTAGGAAGGCATTTGTGTATTTGTTCTGGTATCGATATGGGTCTACCTGGGCCGACTTGCAATGGTTGTCCTGCACTTCGAGCGGGTCTCTGAGGCGATGAATGCCGGCGTATAATTCTCAATGTAAAAAAAAATTCATCCATACATTACTGCTCATAATTTTGTATTTCCAGATGCTTATACATATCTCCTGCTTTTCGCCTCTTATTAATTCTAGAAATTGCAATCATGTATTGTTAAAAACGATATGATCATTGCATTCGTTGTTACGACGAGTCATTGGAAGCACAGGGCCTGGACATTGCTAAATTTACTCTGGTTCATACATACGTTTCCATCGCACTTTTGTGCATAGTCTGACAAGGCAATATATGTACATGTAGGCTTTATAATCAAATATAAGGACCCACCATATCCAAAAAAAAAGTGTCTTAGCAATAAATTCCAATACATTTTTGTGTTCGGTTTGGTGATGCATTCTTTATCGGATCCAGAGATGTCCTCACTGACTAAACTCATCGTTAGCTGGATATACGATTACATTTGTATATACTACATGATATAAACTTGACCACATTTTCCTCTCGAACATGAGTTAGTATTGACTCCACCACCACAAGTCTTCTAGATCCAAGGGCCTCAAGTGTGGATATGAAAAATTGTCCTGTTGACGGCTTTTTTTCTTTCCATTTTGTCCGTCATCCCACGTAAGTGTCGTTACCTTCTTCTTCGCCCAATTCTTCCTTGCATTCTTCAATAGAGCCTTCTGCTTCGTACTGAAGCGCCCCTCATCGGCCTTGATGGAAAATATTCCCGAAATCACCATGTCCTTCAGCTGGGTTGAACGCCTGATATCGATATTTCCGTAAACAGGTTTCCATTCATTCGACTCGAACTTGAATTGTAGCTTTAGCTTGACCAACATTGGCATATTGGTCGCATCTATACTCCGAAGCCTCCCGGATAGGTAAATGTTCTTCCATGAGAAATTCACTTTCCTCCAGCGGTGTTGTTGAGAAAGCAACGCCTTGATAATTCTCTCGGCAGTCTGGTGCATCTCGTCATTGTCGTATCGCTCGAGATCGCAATAGAAAGTGATATCCAAGGGGTACGTTTTGGACCTCTCAAGACAAATATTGATTCTATTCTCCATGTATTGACGCCGCTTCGCCCCTTCGGAACCATAAAAGCAAAACGAGAATGTATGCCACATTTCTGGCATGGAAATGGCTACGGCCCGCCAATATCGGCAGACGAGCGAGACAACACTAGGAGGAACCGGGATGAAAGGACAATATCTGGTGGGTCTCTGCTTTAAGCATAGCAAGAATATTTCTCGGAGAATCTCGGGTGGTACGTAGATCATCTCCTTCCGAGGCTGGCTCTGTGTTTGTTCAAAAGTCTATTTTGTCGTTCCAGGCAGGAATGTTAGATCTCAACGCATCGTAATAAAGGATACTCACAGTGAGTGGCTTTGTTTGTGATTCTTTGCGCTTTGAGCGTTTGTGCTTTCGTCTCGGCTTTTGGACTTTGTTTGCTAAGTTAACAGAACGCATGACAAGTATGAGGCGGCACTGAAAGCCACAACAGCACATTAAGGATCTACGTACCTTCTGGAGAGTCGGGCGGCAGCGTCTTTACTTCCATTTCACGTACGAGAACTCAAAATCTTAATCGACTAAAATATGTTATCGGAATCCGATACGTCTTCGATGTGATAGGGGATAGCAAGTGGAGGAGCCGAGGAGGGAAGTGAGACACGAAGATTCCTTCCTTTATATTTCAACCACGAGCGTACTTATAAATAAAGCAGTTGACCTTCGTGTGGCCCGATGGCGAAATGACTCTTTAAAAATTCAATTTAGACGAGTTGTTCTGCTATTTGATCCAATACAGTCATGTATATATTCACTTTCCAACGGATTCCACTTCAAGGCCATTCTGGGACGGCATTTGATTAAACTCGGAAACCAGCGGGCATGCGTGCACCTGGTGCAGGCGAATTCTTTGCACGAAAAGCACGCGCCATCTCTATGAATGGCACCCATTTAACGTGCTCGTGAGTATTTATCCATGTTATAAATCGTTCCTATAAGCAAATGATGTCCTTAGTTGTCTGTACGAGGCATGCGTACACGACGCATATTAAGAGGGAGGGAACATACCAGCATCATAAGAACGTGTGGGCGACTTCGCAAATAGCTTAATAAATCACCTCGGGGTAATTTGGGATTAACTCACCCGCTAGCATCTGGGTGAATAGTTATCGGAAAGATGAAGTCTTTCTCTTCTCTTAAAGGCAGAGAATACCAATTTGTGAGAACAAGTTTAAAGAGGGTAGAGGAGAAAGGCCTTACTTGTAGAAGTAGGAGAACGTATCCTTCCAGAGGTCCTCAACATCGCGAGTGTTTACCTAGATAATTTTGAGGGACGATAAGAGACCTTGTAGAATGAATAAAAAAGTGCATACCCAGCCATGCGAGTTGGGGTTGGACTTGACGAAACTGCACAGTGAAAATGACGACTCAGAAATTTTCATTCAACTACGAAGTTGATTTATCACATACACTAGAGGTGGAAAATCGTCAAGATACCTGATGTCGCCGTAAATTAATAAACGCTCATTCCGAAAATTGAGTTATGTGAGGGACACACCAGTTAGCTGGGATCTCCACCAATCCAGTTCCGTTTCCTCGTGTTAGCGGCTTCATCCATGTTTCTGCACGAGCATTATAGTCGATCGGTGTCCAACTGTCGCCCTCGCGCAAGTAATACGCCTGAGAGCTTGTTTCTCATTTTTCAAGATTGTCCAAGCGATACCTAGGTCAATCATGACTTACTCATGTGCCATGAAGGAATGGTCTACGGACACACTCCGTGTATCGTCACCATAGCTAAGACATGAAAGAAAGTGAAATGTTACCTACCATACTCTATTCCCTTCTGAAGCAATAGGTCTATGCCTTCGTTACTTGTCTCCCAATATGGAGCAGTGTTGCCTTTGGGTGGTACATCTCCACAGAAGTTGGTCAGAAGGTTATAAGCACGATCCAGCATATCGCGATGCTGCTCTGCATTCAAAGTTTTCTGGCTCTGTAATATCTAGATTTAGATGCTGTCATGAAGTGCTAGAATGCGCACAACCTCATGTGAGTAACCATGAAGACCGCTGATTGAAATGAGGTCAATATGTAACTGCATGAATAGTCGGCGTGTTATTTGTTGATCGTGCGCACATTTCATGTCCGGCATTGCGAACCGCGGCTATTTGCTCTGGAAATGTTTCTAAAGTATGCCCTACGTTGTATACCAACGATTAGAACGCAGCCAAACCGGGAGCTGTATGTCTGAAATATTGGTTGATATGGCTCTTATGCTCACCGGGGACGAACCACGTGGTCTTTATGCCGAAGCGATCGAATAATTTGAGGAGACGAGGGATGCCGACTTCTCCTGCATAGACGCCCTGCCATCCGGAAGTTTATCTCGTTCACTACAAAATTATTTACTGTGTCTGCTACGTACTCGGGAAATGTCTGTTGGGTTGGAACCACCGCCTCGCCCAAGCCTGATCCCGAAGAAGTCAGTCAATCTCTTCACCTGGAGAGGAAGAGAAAACGCAAGGAAGGTGTGGAGGAATGGGTTATAGCCGTGCTCCTAACGTGAGATGGATGTAAGTAGTAAACGCACCACCCCGATACTGCATCGGCATCAACGCCGAATCCAACCAAGATTTCGCGTTTTGATGAGTTATCCATCTGGCGGTCCTTCGAGTATCAGTCAACGCTTTACGATCAGAAGGATGCACTCCACTCCAGAGCGGAATGCAAATAAATATGTGAGAAATTTGCATTGATAAGTATATAGAAATGGGAGTAAGAAGCAAGAGCAAGCTTAGGGTTTGAGGATCGACGTTCTCAAATCTGTCGATTCAGATAAACTACGCTGTTTTTCTATTTATTTGCAGTTGCTTTCTTTAAGATTCTTATCCTTCATAAGTGCATACATTCGTTCATATACATTTCCATGTTAACCCGTTAAGAACAAGAAAAAACGCCTATCCTATAAGGCCATTTCCTAAGAAGAGGCATCTGGTTTGAAACCAGTTGGCATGCGTGCTCCAGGTACAGGTTGCTTCTTTGCGCGGAAGGCACGAGCCATTTCGATCATCGGGACCCATTTTATGGACTCATGGGTATTGATCCAAGTGATGAACCGTTCCTTAAAGCGCATGTATGAGAGGATGGGCCTAGACGGTTGGGAGACGAGGATATGCGAAAAATACTTACCAGCATCATAAGAACGTGCGGACGACTTAGAGGATGTTAATCTTCCTTGACTGGGTTTCTGAGAGAAGATGGCAGCTTACCCACTGACGTCTGGATGAATTGTAATTGGAAAAATGAAGTTCTTTTCCTCTCTACGTTAATATCATCGGATTGTTTCACATCCTCTACCAAAACACAGTGAATATGGAATTAGAACGAACCGATACAAGTAGGTGAATGTATCCTTCCAAAGGTCTTCAACGTCGCGCGTGCTCACCTAATTACATATCAACTACTGAACAGTAACGGGATAAAATATTGAAGAAGCATTACCCAGCCATGCGAATTCGGACTCGCTTTGATGAACCTATAAAGTTACGCAGTAATGAGTTTTTAAACATGATATTCAGCTAAATCTTCGATGAATGCGAACATCATGGGTGGAAGGTCGTCCAGATACCTTTGTTCGATAATTAACGCCTTGTAAGCACGCATATAGTATGCATCCTCACCAATTTGCAGGTATCTCTACAATGCCTGTCTCGTTGCCACGTTTCAGAGGCTTCATCCATGTTTCTGCCCTGGTACTGTAGTCAATAGGTGTCCAATCGTCTGCGTCACGCAAATAAAATGCTTGGGAACTGCATTCCAGAGGATTGTCACTTAATATCTTCACTGATGTCTTAGCAATGTCAACGTACTCATGAGCCATATTTGAATGATCTATACAAAAAGACAATCTTAGCAGGGAAACCTCAACTCGGAAAGCAAGAGCCGCCTACCATATTCAATCCCCTTCTCGAGTAACAGCTCTGTACCTTCCTTGCTTGTCTCCCACCACGGCGCGACGCTTCCCTTTGGTGGTATGCCACCGCAGAAGTCTGTGAGAAGCGTATATGTGCGATCTAAAATATCGCGTTGCTGTTCTACGGTCATCGACTTAGGGTTCTGGTGAACAATTCGCCACAATCAGTGGATATTAACGTAACTAACTAGATGACGAACTTCGTGAGAGTAACCATGCAAGCCGCTGTCATGGAATATAATAATTTAAGTAAATATGAAGGGGTCAATATGAAGAGAGTAGCACATGCATTTCGTGTCCGGCGTCCCGTACTACAGCCATTTGATCCGGGAAGGTCTCCAAGCTATGGCCTATAAGAAGAAAAGAAACTAACAATAAGACAGTTTAATTAACCATGCAGTGCGTTGAGTTGTCACAGACCGGGAATAAACCATGTCGTTTTGATTCCAAAGCGTTCAAATAGCCTGAGGAGGCGTATTGTTCCGACTTCGCCTGCGTACATACCCTGCGTAGGAGAACATCGGATGAGTACCTGAATAACATATGAATACTTGGTCACTCACGCGAGATATATCTCCTGGAGAGTCATGACCGCCATACGAGCCTAGCCTATTTATAACGTGTTAGTCTGACTATAAACTCGACCAGTAAAACCAATACAGAAAAAAGCAGAAACATATAGTGATGTTAATTTCACCCATTCATTGTGAGGTTACAAGAAGGAAAACTCAACTCACCACCCAGCAACGGCATCGACATCCACTCCAAAACCGACCAGAATCTCACGTTCAGAGGAGTTCCAACCTGAGTGCGACATAATGTGCGTGTTCAAACACCAATTCCCGGCTTAGCGACGAATGGAACCAAACCGACGTCGCCGGTCGATAGTACAATGAAAGAAAGATGCGCATGACTGTGAATGCTGCATTGATAAGTGAATAGTAATGGGAGAAAGAAGACCTGAAATAAGCTCAGAATCCAGATTATATAAGCCTTCTCGTTTGTTATCAGATATTTGGTTCTGTTCCATGTTTATCCTGCGAGTCTGAAAATTGCCTCGACGCTACTCAACCCAAACATCATAGCGAGCCAAAGTACGGAACTTCTGACCTTCCAAGTCTGAGGCTGACACAAAGGTGGCCTATGTTCTGCTCTTGTGCAATGAACGTGCGCTGGGATCTCTCACTGGGTGTTCAAGAATAGAGTGTCAGCCAACGATCGAACGAATCTGGGCTCTGCTTTCTGGAGAGTGGCTGACAACCTTCAAGTAGCTTAAGAGGATATGGATTTCCGCTCCCTATCCCGATACCAACCTTTCCTTTACCATCAACCTCGTCAATCTTTAATAATCTACGGCTTGCTGCTACTCTACACTCTTTTGTCAAGGAATTTTATCGTCATCCTATCTACTCTCATTCTCTGGATTAATATTCAAAATGCGCTCCTTTATCTCGAATCTACCCCTCATTTTCAGCTTCCTTTTACTCCCAGCCGTAAGGGGACGTGAGCAAGTATTACAACGTATGGCGACTCACGACTCTTCATCCATCTTGGATACGCGCCCGTTTATGGACGAGAGAAGTTCTGTAGCTCCGAGTCAGAGGTGTTCTAAGGCTGGTCTCTGCGAATTTGCTTGTACTGATGGCTACCAGCTCGAATTTATTGAAGTCAACGGAGGAACAGCGGGCACCTGTGCATGTACACCACCTGACGTTGTCTGCAATGGGAAATGTGGCCCATTCCCTGATGGATGTCCTGCAGCAACCCCGACACAAGACAAAATATTCAGGTCTTTCAGACGCGTCCGTGCTCTATCACCTTCATCTCTTCCGTCCGATCGCTCAAGCCCTGCGTTCCAAAAAAATGCTGACACTCCTACTTGTTCGGCCTTCACCGAACAAACACAGCAAGCCCAGGATGCAGGATGTGCGGCTCACGAGACACTATGCGGTGCGTACGCACCTCGTGGGAGGCGCTTGATGGAATGCATTGATACGCAGAGAAACTTGGAAAGCTGTGGCGGATGTTTACACCCTCTTCACGCCACGTTTGACCAAAGCTCTATGAAGAGGCAAGGTTCCATTGGGGTGGATTGCACCGCGCTGGAGGGTGTCGAGGATGTGAGATGCTCTGCCGGTCGTTGCGTCGTTTTAACTTGCGAATCTGGCTGGACGGTTGCACCTTCAGGCGACCACTGTATACCGAACAGGCCTGAAAATGCAGCATCTCCGAAAAATGGTACGCCCCAGCCGTATTATATACCGAATAAGATGCCTCAGGTAATACCGTCTCCAGCCACCGCGACGACCTCAAGTCCTATCGATACACAGACTTCGACTTCGACAACGAGTGGTCAGTTCCGGGGTGCATCCGCCACCACTCCAACATCCTCAGCTACTGCATCGGGATCTTCATCTTCGTCCCCTGATGGCCCAGATACTGGCGGTAGCACTACCGATGGCATGGACTCAAGTACCGCATCAAACACGTCGTCCTCATCTCCTGATAGCATGGATGCTGACGATAACACTACCGATAGCACGGACCCAAATACTGCATCGAACACGTCGTCCTCATCTTCTGATAGCACAGGTGCTGACGATGGCAGTACAAGTCATACAGGTCCAGCGGCCACATCTGACGCTTCACCTTCATCTCCTGGCAGTTCAGGTTCTGACGATACTGCAAGCGATGATACGGATGGGAATCCCGCGCTTAGAGTTGGTTTCACTGGTTTTGCGGCGCGTCCCCGGCCAAATCCTAACCACTCATCGGGAAGTTCTGTCCCCGGGAATGGAGATACCGACTCGTGGAAGTGCAAGAGGGATGCAGAGACTGGCGTATGTCTGGGGCTGGATGCATCGGGTACGCCAGGTGGAAATCCCTCGCTTAAAGCTGGCTTCATTGGTTTTGCAGCGGGTCCCCTACCAAATCCCGGAGATTCATCAGAAAGTTCTGCGCTCCCGAATGACAATACCGACCCATCGAATTGCAAGAGGGATGCAGAGACTGGCGTATGTCTGGGTTTGGATGCATCAGGTACGCTGGGTAGAAATCCCTCGCTTAGAGTTGCCTTCACTAGTTTTGCGGCGACTCACCCGCCAAATCCTGGCCACTCATCGGGAAGTTCTACACCCCCGAATGGCGATACCGACTCGTGGAATTGCAAGAGAGATGCAGAGACTGGCGGATGTCTGAGGTTGGATGCATCAGGTACGCCGGGTGAAAATTCCTCACTTAGAGCTGGCTTCACTGGTCTCGCGGCGGTTCCCCTGCCAAATCCTGGCGACTCATCGGGAAGTTCTGCTCCCCCGGATGGCAGTACCGTCTCGTGGAATTGCAAGAGGGATGTAGAGACTGGCGTATGTCTGGGGCTGGATGCATCAGGTACACCGGGTGAAAATTCCTCACCTAGAGTTGGTTTGAATGGTTTTGTGGCAGGTTCCCTATTAAATCCTGGCAACTCGTCAGGAAGTTCCGCGCTCCCGAGTGGCAATACCGACTCTTCGGATTGCAACATAGATGCAGAGACTGGCCTATGTGCGGATTTGGCTGCATCAGGTACACCGGGTAGAAACCCTTCGCTTAGAGTTGCCTTCACTAGTTTTGCGGCGGCTCACCCGCCAAAGCCTGGCCACTCATCGGGAAGTTCGACCCTCCCAGACGGGAGTACCGATTCTTCGGATTGCGACATGGATGCAGAGCCTGGCGTATGTCTGGGTCTGGATGCATCAGGTACATCGGGTGGGAGTCCTTCGGTTAGACTTGGCTTCACTGGTTTTGCGGCGGGCGCACCACCAAACCCTGGTGACTCATCGGGTACTTCTACAGGAGGGCAGGCGGCCCCATTGTTGGGTCTGGTAGGCGCTGTGAGCGGAAATGTGGCAGCCTCAGTTCCAGATGGTCGTCCTAATGGCTTGACACAAGGACTCAACAGGCTCATGTCGTCTGCATCTGACACTGCTGATAACCTTCCAAGCAATGTAGGCTCATTTGTATCAGCGGACGGGGTAAATTCGGGCCCTGACCTGACCTCTGACAATGGCTTGGGTGGCACAACGCCCACCGCAACTGAGCCTTCATCTGCCCCGTCTTCGGTGACGTCTGAGGCTGCCAGTGCTGGTACTTCATCGGGAAGTCCTGCCCTCCCAGACAGCAATTCCGATTCGGCGAATTGCAAGAGGGATGCAGAGTCTGGCATATGTCTGGGGTCGGGTACACCGAGTGGAAATCCTTTGGCTGGACTTGGCTTCACTGGTTTTGCGGCGGGTGCACCACCAAAACCTGGTGACTCATCGGGTAGTTCTACAGGAGGGCAGGCGGTCCCACTGTTAGGTCTGGTAGGCGCTGTGAGCGGAAATGTGGCAGCCTCGGTTCCTGATGGTAGTCCTAATGACTTGATGCAGGGATTCAACAGGTTCGTGTCGTCTGTATCTGACACCGGTGATAACCCTTCAAGCAACGTAGGCTCATCCGTATCAGCCGATGGGACGACTTCTGACCCTGACCTGACTTCTGGCAGTGGCTCGGGTGACTCAGCACCCTCTGCTACGATGCCTTCAATTGCTCCTTCTTCGGTGACGTCCTTGGCTGCCAGTGCTGCTACTTCATCGGGAAGTTCTGCTCTCCCGGATGGCAGTACTAATTCGTCGAATTGTAAGAGGGATGCAGAGACTGACATATGTCTGGGGTCGGATGTATCAGGTACGCCAGGTGGGAATCCGTCGCTTAGCGTTGGCTCCATTGCTTATGCGGCGGGTGCACCACCAAATTCTGGTGACTCGTCCGGAAGTTCCACAGGAGGGCAGACGGCCCCTTTGCCGGGTTCGGTAGCGGATGTAGCAGCCTCACTTCCTGATGGTAGTCCCAATGACTTGAAACAAGGATTCAACAGGTTCAAGTCGTTTGTATTTGACACCAGTGATAACCTTCCAAGCAACGTAGGCTCGTCTGTATCAGCTGACGGGAGTCATGGGACGACTTCTGATCCTGACGGACCTGACCTGTCTTCTGGCAATGGCTCGGGTGACTCAAAACCCTCCGCTACGACGCCCTCAATTGCACCTTCTTCGCCGACGTCCGAGGCTGCCAGTGCTGCTACTTCAAGTATTTCCGACACCGCCAACAACGCGTGTTCTGACATTCAAGATACCGACATGCCCGGCGAGAACGTCGACGTCTCTGGAGCCGCACATGCCATTAATCATGACGTGTGCTTTGGCTTAAAGGCGGCTGCAAGTGGATGAAGCCAACAAGCTTACAAAACATCCAATGATTAATGACGAACTTCACGATCACTTTAGACGTATGACTTTAAACGAGATTGTAAAGTGTCAGACCTTGTTTCGCAACATTTTCTTCCTAGTTTTATTTGTATTTTCTTCTATTTTGTATGATGACTGAGTCACTGAGAGGAAATATATGATGATTACATAGGGAAAAAAATACCGTATGAATTGAATTGAATTGAGATGTCACGAAACGCGTTTCGTACGCGCTTGGCATGTGACCACGTGAATAAATTACTGCTGTTGCTGGATATTCAATATTTCCCAACCTGTTCTCGTGTTCAACTTTCTTTTCTCCGCGTTAACGGAGCTGCGTAGTCATCTCATTTCTTACCGTCTCTTGTGCTGCTGACAGGTGGCTGTCCCGCTAAGCCGTACGAATAACGAACCGAACGTAAGTCAGAATCAATTATAATTTATTTCCCTAGAGAAAAGTATTGTGCGAAAATTAGAGAAGCCTCTTGCTGACTTAGTAAACCCCGGGCTCGCAACCACTTGTTCCACAGCTATTCTTTTGACTACAGCCAAACGAGCAATGGCATCCACAGAGCTCGGGAATATTCAGGACACGAAAATGGTCGTGGACGAGCCGCAGACGACTGAAGAGACTGGGCCGAGGGTCCAAGAGAAGGAAACTGTCGCACCGCGTCGCTCGTCTCGCATTAGCGCGACCACTGGTCCAACCAGCAACGGTGCAGCAAATAAAGCTAAACCTGCACCCAAGGCTACAAAGAAACGCTCTGTGCACGACTTGGCGGATAGCGAGGCTGGCGACGCTAAGGAAAGCACGAAGAAGGTTGGATACTTCGCTCCCGTCTCTTATTATCTTATTACTCATGTAACTGTTATACATACTCTAGGCGAAGACAGCTGAGGAAGACGAGGGAATGAAACTTGGTGAATCTTTGCCTGATCTCGTACTCAAGAATGAAGAAGACGCAGAAGTCAAGGTCCAAGAGCTTGCAGCGGGCAAGAAGGGTGTTGTGCTATTTTTAGTGCCGAAGGCTGATACACGTATGTTAAGCTCTTTTCATACCGGATGTACCCTTCTTCGCCATCTGTTGGGGATATTTGTCGGAAATTAGGTGATATTGATCTTTTTTCCTTACATATGTCGTAGCCGGTTGCACGACGCAAGCCTGTGGTTTTCGGGACATCAATGCGGATTTCGTTACTGCGGAATTTGCTGTTTACTGTGTCTCGGCTGACACTCCAGACAAACAGAAAAAGTGGAAAGATAAGGTTGGTACTCCGCGATTCTTCAAGTACTTTCCTTCTTAAATCAAGTAAACAACCTTCTCTTCGCGTCTGCTTCATGAGTAAGAAAGCTTATTTGAATAATAAACTGACTGTCTTTCCTTTGTGTGCTTTAGAAAACTCTTCCATTCCCACTTCTTTCCGATGCGGAGCGTTCACTCATTGAAAAACTAACCGGGAGCGCGAAGAAGACGGCAAGAAGCCACTTTGTATTTGCTGGTGACAAACTCGTCGACAAAAGAATGCCCGTCAAGCCAGCAGATAGGTTAGTCGTTCGTTGTGCTGTTAACTTAGATCCGCAATCCTGTCTCCGCGACAAGTGAAGAGACGTTATGCTGATGTATTGTCTTGCTTTGTAGTCCTCGCCTTGCACTTGAATTCATCCGTGCACTTGAAACAGGCAACACGAGTACACTAGAGAAGATTGAAGCGCCTGACGCTGCTGACGTGGCTGCAGCGAGTGCCGCAGCGACAGTAGCTGCTGAACAGCCTCCGCAGGACACGGTCCCGACTGATGTTGCTCCAGCGAACACAACAGGAGACAGCACAATCACTGGCGAAGCGGCACAAGCTCCGGCAGCAGCGTAATAAGTTTATTTAAAACGGTTGGAACAAGAAATAATAAGGAGCGAGAAACGGGAGAGACACGGAAAGACGATCTTAATGTTCCCTTGTCTCTGGTGGGATCAAAATTCGTGATAGGACACTGCGTTGATGGACTGTACATATATGAACCTGAAATGTTCTTGCTTTCCTATTTGCTTTGGTCGGTTTTGTATAAAATAATATAATCGTGCTTTGCGTTTGGTCTATGTAGTACGAGTCCTTTGCAGTGCAGTGCAGTGCAGATGGATTCAAATTGAACAGGAGTCTGAAAAAGAAGAAAAAGCTTCTTCTTGACCTTTCTATTTCCTGTCCATCGATGTCGCGAATAATGGAACAATCGGTAGGCAGCAAAAATAATTGCCGATATTCATGTTGGACTGTAATTATTCATTATATTGTCAATCCAGTATTTTGAGCCGACTACCTTTTGAGTTGATTACTGTAATTGGCCACCATGTGAAATAAATGCAGTACGCTATATGTAACCCTCTCTACCACTGCCGTGCCGTGCACATGCACTCGCAGTGAAACATCGATATCAAGCCTAGTGCAAAGGTACTCTCTCCGTACGAACTCTTGTGCATCATAGCATCCCATCTTGCGTCTTCTTCGACTCCTCACGATCAGTTAGAATCTGAGTCGGAACAACCTATCGACAACTTCGACAAATCGCCATGGAAAAATACCAATGGCTTCGCGAATGCTTCAAAGGCACTGAGGACTATGGTACTTCGAAAGTGGTTTCGCGTTATACGTGCACTGAATAAGGATGATTGGGAGATGTACGAACAGTACTTTCCGTTCGTCTTTTAGATTGCCAAGTAAGTACAAGTGGCTTCTGTTTTTGCGTTGCAATACTGTTCGCTTCGGAGATCATCCCTCACTTTGGAATCCATTTAAATAAATAAAATAAAATTGCTCATCCGATCTTATCCTAGTTCGCTAGAATGGTGTGGATATAATCACACATATCCGGACAGCCTGGCTACACAGAAGTTCCTGAACTAGTTGAAGAACAACATCCGTAATTCTATCCCCTCCAGGTGCCGAAGACTCCAAACTTCGTTCATTTTTCCTATGCTACTTGGACGATGTCATTGCTCCCATAGCAAGCTCAATGAAGGTGTTTGAGCTTTGGAACGAGCAGAATCCGTGGCCGTCCTTGATGACATTGTATTGCGGATGTCTTACCGGAGCTACAAGTCTTTAAAATGAAGCAGCCGGATGTGTGTTGTCATATTTGTGACGACTGTGAACCCATGAACATTTCAGAAGACTTTCCGACAGAGGGAATCGTCTATACGGACGGGAAGGGGTTACCAGTATGTTCCATTAACACTTATATTGGTGAACATTAATATAAAGGCGAATCCTGTATCACTTTCACACATTTTAGAAATCTTACTCCCGAAAGATTGCTGAGCTACAGAAGCTGCACACGGTAGTGATAACAGTTGGAGTGGCAAGAGGCCAATGACCCTTTGACAAGCAAAATCTACTGTCATACTCATGGTCCAGAGAGTACGAGACATGCCTTATTCGCATGAACACGGATGCGTCATATCGGGAGCGGATCTTGGAACGGAAGAAGAGGAAGAGGAAAGTCCCCCCAATCTTAGGAGGGTTGATTGGCACTTCCAACTAGTGGAGGACTTTGATGAGGATTGGACAGATTAAGGGACGAGGCAAACCACAAACGACAATGCTTTGCATCGTGAATTGTGTAACATTAGTGCATAATTGCCACTATGCCCTGGGCTTGCTCAGAACGTCTGTTGGACTGAATTGAGAGACAAGCATGACTGGCCCGGGATCAGCCAATTGTGTTAAGAAATAGGCATTTACGAGGATCTATTCCCTAATGTTCATTAATATGCAGGAAAAAGAAAAGAGAAAGGGAAAGCAAAGCGACGGCAACAAGCGAGAAACAAAAAGATAGTAAAGGAGAGAAAAAGGACAAAATCCGGTGTAAACGCAGGTCTGCGAAGAGGCTAGCGAAATGTGTATATAGAAATAGGAATTGTATAAACTAAAGGACGAATCAACGAAAGCCAAGATAGTAAACCAATGTGATGGTGAAGAGGAAATAAATATAGTACGATATGTGTTCACGACGGGCCTTGAGGGGCATAGATAGGTACGGTGCAACAATAAAGTAAAACGATCCATATATGAATTCTCAAGAGCCACAGTTTTAAGAGTATTCATTCTTCTTCTTCTTCTTCCTCTTCTTCAACAATAGCGGATTTGAACGCAGGAGCTGATCGACCATTCGGAAGTTGTCTACGGCTCATGCGCGTTTCGTTGACAATGGACTCGGGTGGAACGTCGAATACGCCGTCTGAACCAGGTAGAGGCATGGTTCCTGTAATCGGCGAGTGACCTGCCCTTGTACGAGCACCTCCGCGACCTCTACCTGCTTTCCGAGCTCCACGGTTGTTCGGACGAGGGACAGGAGAGAGCTGCATCGGCAGTTCCATATTCTTCTGATTCAACTTCGAAGCCATCGATGCGTTTGTTGGAATTTGTCCGAGTCCACCCGCGAAGGCGGGGAAGTCATCGTCTTCGTCTACCCAGTCGGAGTCATCGCCTAAGTTGATCGATTGTCTCCCCGAGAAGACATCCCGGATAGTCATAGGCTGATCCGGCGCAGGTGAGACGGCGAGTACTTCCACAGGGAATTGCGGTTGACGAGACCGCCAACCAGGAGGCTCGGTGCCCCAAGCCTTCTTCCAACTGGAACTCCTGACGGAAGTAATGAAGCTCGCTGCTGATGGAGGGCCGAAAGTGGATTGCTTCTTTTGCGCAAGGAGGACTGTACTGTAACATGAGCGGCGCGGAGGATCATCTGCTGATCTCAAAGGAGAGTACCCTGCCCTTTGGCTCTCTCCCTCAGAAGCGTCATAGAAGGAGCCGGGCCGAGAAGACGGCAGCGAGTGAATGGATGAAGTTGTGGAGTTAGAGCGAACATGTGCAGGTCGGTTAGAAAGGTTTTGTGACGACGATGGTCGTGCTTGTCTCACGACACGTGTAGAAGAACTCGATCCGGCGCGCTGGTGATACTTTTTAAGAGGAGAAGCTCGACCATATCGCGCAGTCGAACCGCTAGATCCCGCGGATGGTGACTTTCTGTGCCGACCCTGCATACTATAGCTTCGAATTGAAGATGGTCGCGACGAATGGACTTCTCGTTCTACTTCGGAATTAGGTGTGAATGAGCGTCGGCTTGGATCACTTCTTTGGCGGGAGATATTGTCCATACCGTGTTGTGGAGTTTCCATAAGGACCATTTGCATAGATGCAACCGAGGAACGACGAGAGTTTATGCTGCTTGAGCGACGTGAGGAGATGGATGCCCGTTTGGCGCGAGGTTTCTGTCCACTCCAGCCACCGCGTCTCTTGAAGGTGTTGCGCGGTGGCCTCGGTGAAGGAGGAACAGGTACTGGACCACTGGAACTCGCGTTGATATTTACCGGAGGCGGGACGGCGGCCTTGCGCTTTCCCTTGCGGTCCTCGTTGAACCACATCCGGAAAGTAGTGAGCAGATTGTTTCGGTTACGAACTGGCCCGAATAGTTTATGTGATCCATCGGCGCCAAAATCATTTGTGTTCCCGGGCGAGTTTGCTGGTGTGGGCGCAACGGTAAACGTGGAGGATCTAGCGACCGGGACCCAAGGAGAGGCACTAGGTAGACTTGTGGGAACTGTTTTCTCATGCTCTGGCGTCGATGGTTGAGTTGGAACGTCTTTTACAGGACGAATAGGAGGTGACTTCGTCAGGCGCGCAGTTGCATTCGCATGACCATTGCGGGAGTCTGAAGATGAAGAGGTTCGTTCCTTGTCCTTATCTTTGTCCTCCTTAACAGCCTCAGTGGACTTCTTTCGTACCAGCCCAGCAGCCTCCAGCGCAGTCATTGTGGCACGCTGTACGATGCTGACACTTCCAGATCGTGCCTTGCCACTACTACGGCCTTTCGAGCCATCCTTACCATCTTTCTCCTTTCCAGGAGTAGATGGGGCAGATTTTGTTGATTCCATGGAGGTCGGAGTTGGTGATAAGAATGAACGCGGAGACTTAGAACGCGGAGGCGTTACTGGCGGTGATGCATTCTTCTTCTGCCGTGCTTCAGCGACAGTCGGCGTTGCAGGGACAAATGCGAGTTCTGGAGCAGAACGAGATTGCTCTAATTTACCGAGGGCTTTCTCAACAGCCGGAGATTCTGGGACACCCAGAGACGGAGTCAATCCAATCTCCAGTTCTGTCTCCAGTTCTGTTTCTACGTCACCATGAGCGGCGGACTCCTTTTCCTTTTTGAACGCGGACTCTAAGGCTTTCTTTTCGGCTTTGCGTTTTAGCATCCACCACATCGCGCCGGTCGCATCGCAGGCATCGCTTAATACGGAGTGAACCATTTGTCCGATGTCGAACCCCAAGATACTGAGATTGTTTAGCAGCTGCCGTTCTAAGGGCGTGGAGAAAAGGAGAGGAGCTGGCGTGCGTAGAAGAGAGGCGAAGTCTTGCGGAGGGACACCAACTGGATGACTATCCGACACAGGAGACGAGGGCTGCGAGAGGATAGACGAGACAGAGCGTCGCTTTGTACGAGCGGGCGTCCGCGTAGGATATGCAGTTGGGGCCAGTGAAGGGCCAGGAGAAGCACCAGGAAAATTTGTGGGGCTTTGAGCAGGAGAAGGGTCTCTTGAGCGTGAAGCGTCTCTTGAATCGGTCGACAACCTTCTGGACAAGAAGATGTCGTCTTCTTGTTTTGATGACTTTGCCAAAGTCCTACCCTTCGCGGACTTCTTCCGGCGCGAGCCTGGGTCGGCCATATCCATTTTCTTTTCGCGCTGCTTGACAGTCCTCTCGCTGGCGTTACTATCGAAGCTTATATTATCTATCATGGCAAAAGACTCATCCGCAACGGGGCTAGCGGAAAGCGGTGGCTCGGAAGGAGCAGAATGGAAGCTCGCTTCTGAAGTTGAAGGTGATGGTAGGTGCTGCGCTGAGCTTGAGGAATTGTCCAGTGGTATCGCAGGTACAGAGGACGTCGAAGGAACGTTCGTCGCAATATTTAATTGAGGAGCGGCATCAGAGGGGCGCGAGAACCATGGATGAGCAAGGATCTGGGTAATAGAGAGACGTTTTGCCGGATCATATTGGAGGATATTGCGAAGGAGGTCTCGCGCATCTGCGTACCCAGCGACCACGTTCATTAGTCTTGCGAAGTATTATATGAGACGTTCGTAAAACTGTACCTGCAGAGAGCCAATCAGGGTTCTCAAACTCTCCAACAATGATTTTCTCTCGCATTACAGCTTCATCATCATCATCGAATGGCAGTGTTCCAGTCAAGAGGCAGTATAGGATGACCCCTAACGACCAGATGTCCACCTCTGCAAAGAGTTGAGAACATAACTTAAAATGAAGTGATTTCTGATGACGTCACCTGGCCCGAGGTACTTCTTTGCCATCAACATTTCCGGAGCGGCATATCTTGACGCAAGTGAGCAAACAAATGTATACAATCACAGCTGTAGGCGTACCCAGTAGTTCCGCAGTACGTGTCAAGCAAGGAGCCTCGTTCAAACTCCCGAGTGAAACCAAAGTCTCCGAGTTTAATCCTACATCGTTCATCTAGCAAGACATTTTCAAGTTTGAGGTCCCTGTGAACCACGCCCTTCTCGTGAATATAGCCTACGGCGAGACAGAGCTGGCCAAAAATTGCGCGGGACTCTTCTTCCGAAAGGCGACCCTTCTCGGCAAGGTAGTCGAAGAGCTCGCCACCAGAGCACAGTTCAGTGACGAGCCAGATAGTTGACTCTGTTGCTATCACCTCGTACAATTTACATACATGAGGGTGGTGAAGGCGGCGATGGTGGTGGATCTCGCGGGTGAGGGCAGCGGACATGGCCTTTGGAATTTGCTTGATTGCCACGCGCGTGGAGGTGAGTCTGTGTGTGCCCAGCCGGACCTTCCCATACGTGCCTGGACATTTGAGATGACCGGACCCGGGTCAATATAAGTACTTGGTGCGGCAACACCTTGAGTGCATACCTTCACCAATGACCCTGCCAAGGGTATAGTTCCCGACGACCTTGACCTTTGTGGAGGACAGTTCCTTGCCAAGCTCGTTGTAGGCATTTGCGAGCTGGGCCTTGAGGTTCTGGGAAGAGGATGCAGAGTGCTTGTGGCCTTGGATGGACATGGAGCATATACAGAGAGTAAAAAAGAAAGAGAACGGAACAGGCGCAGGGGCCTTAATTGGAAGAAAGAGACAGAGAAAAGGCTGGCCGTCGACGGCGGGAGGGACGTGGACGTCGACTAAACGCCTGGCTGCAACTGTGCAACACGATGATTAGCCGACAGCGTGCTAACAGGCATTACATAATATGCACGTCGTCCATAACGGGTAATGGTGATGTTCGACTCTCGAGACGCGTCTCTGCCACTCAGTACTATAGTACTCTGAGTCTGAGTCTCTGACATTCACAAGAAATAATTCTGGCAATGGGCGACTCGTCGCCGTCGAGAGTAGGCACGGAGCCCCCTCTGACTATCTCGACGCTGCTCAGCTCGCTGCACAACCATCTGCAAACACAAACACAACTACTGCCCACCCTCCATGCCCAGCTTGGCTTGCCGCAATCGGCTCTAGCAGACGAACTCACCACGCTTCATCAACGGCTTGCTGCTTGTGTCGAGGAACAGATTGAACTGCGCAGGCAGGAAGTCGACAAGTGGATGAACAAATGCGATATTATCGAACGCGAATGTCTCAAGTATGCAAAGGCCTTGGGTGGACATACCAAGGTCATTTCGACGAGCATAGGAGAACTGCGCAAACAGCAAGTCCTTCCCGTCCGCCATGAGATGTTGAGCCAACATCAAGAGAAGCTTGATCATGTGAGCACCCACGTAACGGATTGAAAGGCACCATATACTAACACTCTGGCTTTGCCGCAGTTGTATAAGGCGAAAATTGAGCAACTGCAGAACCTGACAAACCGAGTTTTGTCGCTCTCCAGCACACTCGGTCCAGAATTTTTCGCCCTGGACCTCACAGAACCTCCACCGGCATATGGTGAAAGCGTCTCGGAGGCGCAGCCATTACGCGAAGTGACTCCAGAGCGATTTTCCAAACTAGAGAAGGAATTAGCTCGTGGCAAGGCGGAAATCGTGAGTGTAATTACGATTGTCTTTGGACACGTAATGCTAACTAGATGTAATCAGAATCGACGCTTGCAACAACTATCCGCTACCTTCTTGCAATTAGACTGGCTTTATCAAGAGCTGGACATTCCTCCTCCTTCATGCGAGGATGAAGACGTTTTCGCTGCTTCATCATCGTTGAAGCCTCCTATGACGCAGAGAATTCCGTCTATATCTCGCGAGTCTGGTGATCCATTTCTCTCCTCCGTTTCATCAATTGGAACGCCAACTCCCTGTCCGCGCGGAAAATCCAGTGGCTCTCTGGTTATGGAACCCGAACGCACTCCGGATTATAATAGGATATATACCAATTTCTTGGTTCGCGTAGACGAGGCAGAGTCAGTAGGCAAATCCGTCGAGTCTAATCCTCTGATCGGCCTTGAAGGTGTCCAGCCGACTGTCGAGCTCATGGCTTGGGCGGAAGAAACGAAGAACGCGCTCGAGGAGACCAAAAAGCGGCGCGAGACTCATATTCAGGCTATGTACGATCAGCTCGAAGCACTGTGGAAGCGACTTGGTGTCGAAGATGAAGACATTGATGGCTTCGTCGAGAATAACCGGGGTAGTACCGAGGCAGTCGTTCGATCATATGAAGAGGAACTAGAACGCATGTTAGAGCTTAAGCGGGAACGTATGAGCGTGTTCATTGGAAATGCACGTGAGGAGATTGAGGTACTTTGGGATGAGCTTATGTATGGCGAAATGGAACGTGCTGAGTTTGCGCCTTTCACTGATGGTCTGTTATTCTTCTTCTGTCATTTGCCCTTTATATTTCTGATTAACTACATTCTCTTGCAGATGAGCATTCTGAAGATCTTTTAACTACACACGAGGACGAAATCCGAAGACTGAAAGAGGAACGGCGAATAAAGGCACCCTTGCTTACAAGCATTCGGAAGTACTTCGAGATATGCGATGGTGAGAAGGAACTCGCGGCCGCTGCCCAAGATCAAAGTAGATTATTGGGCCGAGGGCCGCGAGATCCTGGCCGACTTCTTCGGGAGGAGAAAATGCGGAAACGTGTTAAACGGGAGAAGCCAAGAGTGGGTGTTCATTTGGTCTAGTCCTTCCATCCTCCGAGGTGCTGAAGTACATGTATTTATCTCTAGCTTGAGCAAGAACTTTTGAACTCTATTCCAGCTTGGGAAGAGGCTGAAGGCAGACCTTTCCTTGTTAATGGTGTCCGAGTCATGGAGGTGCTTGAATCGTTAGGTGCAACAGCCAAAGAGAGCTCGCGTCAGACCAAGACTAGAGCTGGTTCTGTCCCCGCACGATCGACGACACCTCAAACGGGCATCAAACGCAGCGCGTCGCGGAGCGCGAGCTCTGATTCTGAATCAAATCCGAACAAGAGAGCTAGGGTTGTATCGACTACTTCTGGACAGTCGAAGGCGCGGGCAGTCTCTGTGAAGAAGGAACCCCAGGAGTCGCGTGTACCCTCGAGCCGTGTTCCGTTCAGTAGTCGGATTGGAACTTTCAACTCTAACGCGGGCTCGTCGACGCAAAATGGCGCGCCTTCAACTCTGAAAAAAGGTACGAGAACCCCATCTGTGGCATCCGTACCTCGACCTGCCAGTGCTTCGTCAAAGGCACCTATTGCATCAACTCAACGAGTTACTCGTGGAGCGGGTATTGGATTAGGACATCCTTCCTCCGCACAGCGTGGGCGACCAATCTCGGCTTCTGCGTCGGCAACTACGGGAAAGACGTTCTCACTCATGGGAACAGGGCGGACACCGCGAGGTGTCGGCCCTGCGAAACGGACGCCGAAGAGGAACAATCGGAAGGAGAGCTTCCGACCGAGACCGAGTACCGTCGGTGCATTACCGAGTCGGTTTGGTGGTCCTTTTGAGTTTACCGTCCCAGAGGAGGACGGGTATTGATGTCTTTAATTTTGCGCCCTTTGACTTGCGAGCTGGTGGTTCTTCCTTGTCTATCACCAATCATCTTCATCTTCCACGTCCGGTACGATTCTTGTGGGTGTTCTTGTCCTTCTAGCCTTTCCTCCCTTTCTTTTCGCTCATTAAGGAGAATTGCATACATACCATTTGATCAAAGACCGTTTTTATGATATGATTATGGTATTCCTTTTTTGTAGTTTGGGTCTGTCTATTGTCTATTGTTGTAATAGTATGCAGATACGAAATGACTTGGTGTACGATAGAAGTACTATGATCGTAGATGGGATTGGATGAAAGTGTGATTTACTCTACATCACTTGGTATAAGGGCACGAATTGTTGTGTTGACATGAGATTATTGGACTTGGTGTAGAATTTGTCATTTCATTCTCTTCGATCACTCATTCGCTCAATGGCCATCGCCATGGTACAGTAACATTGCGGAATTTCCATTGTATTGACGGTCTAGATCCAGGTCCTACATTATTACAGACAGCGTATGCAATGAGATAAATTAATCGATAGCATTGAAAGTTCGTGAAAGCAATAAAAACAATACATCTGAGACAGCATTCTGCGTGGGTATTACCAGTTACCATACATTAGTTGTGCACATTCCTAAAGGTAACAAATTGTCAATTTATAAAGAACAAGAATCGAAGAGGGGGAGGGGTAGTCATCTTACCTTCAACCTCGTCAAATTATGTGTGATGGCGACGTTGATAATGGTACGCAACTTTCGTCGGACGTCCGCTTTACTAGTTGTAAGTTGATAATTTCCAGAACATTCACAATGACGAGAAACGTTGTCAGATTGAATCTGCTTGCATCGAGCACAACGGAGGTCCTGTTGAACGAAGTTACGCTCAAGACGATGTAAATGCTGGATTAACGCAAATTCAATAGCGGTTCTATCGTATTCGCCGTCGCATTCTGGGCAATACCACTTTGCTTGTTCAAGCGAAGTGGGAAGTAGGTCATCATCCCGACAGAAATCGAAATCCCGGATATGATCGCAGTAACAACATGTGACCATGGACAACTTGAGCGGATCGCAAGGATTGCGAAAGAGTGCTTGGTCGGAGAACTCTCGCACTCCGACGAGTTCCAGGAGATTGCGCTTCATCAACCCAATCTCAATTTGATAATCTTGTGCGAGACTGAAGACGGCGCAGGAAAACTTGATAAATTCGAGAGTGGGTTCGGTCATGTGCAGGTAGGATCCCGGTAGAACCGGGAAGGCGTACTCTGGGGATTCTCCTTCGTCCATTATGGACCTTTTGTGTTCGTCTTGAATTACTGAGACGACTTGGAGCATCCGACGAGTCAACTTTTGCGCAATGAAGACTTTCGATTCGTCGATTTCCTTTATTTTCCCTGTATCCCGTTGGGTCACATCTGGCCCCAAGTTTTGCACAACACGAAGAGGTGTTCGGGTGTTCTGCTCAACCTCACGCCTAATTTTTGCCATTTGTGCTATGAAGTAACGCACTACGGTTCGGAAATGACCTTGTACTGCGGGAGGCAGGAACTTGTTAATGTTCCAGGTCGACGAAATAGCTATCTGCTTCGGCGGTTCGATAGCGAGCGGGTCCTCACAAACGACGGCCCCATAGTTCGCAGGATCCATATATAGTAGGAAATCGTAGAAACGCTCCGTTCGCAGATATATGTGCTTAAACAAGTCGTGAGATGTTACCGCCGTCGTGATGTATGTTGCGTATGCGTGAGCTGTTCCCGGAGGTTTCGATGTGACAAGAAGAATTCGGGAGAAATCAGCGTAAACTACATTTGAACCGAGACGCTTGAATTCGGCCAATAGTTGGATAAATGTCTTCCGCATGAGCCCGTGTATAAAACGCTGGACGCTTGGCTCATACATCATGGCAGAGCTCGAGCTCACCCAGCGCCAGAAGTGATCAAGAGTCACCGACACCGGACTGTTAGAATCACGCGCCTTATCGAGCAACCAAGCCCGGACCATTTGCTTAATGATTGCAAACATTTGGGGAGACAAATTTGAGTCACCTAACGTGACATTTGGTTGCGCATCCCCAGTGGAATAGTCATCCAGAGTGTGCGACGTTGAGTCAAAAGCGGTGGTCCCTCCGCTACCTTCCAGCTCATTGACAAGAGCCGATTGCAGTACCGAATCTATCGCGAGATTTCCAACCTGTATGGAAAGGCAAACTTTCGAGTAAAGGCCTGGAGAGAGAAATTCGGGGTTCGTGAGCTCTTCAGCGGGAGGCATATCATTCTCGAAACCACCAAGATCTGGCTTTTCTCCAGCTGACCACCACAGTACCATGTCTTGAGCTGATAGTCGGCGGGCTAACTCGATATCGCAGAAGAAGAGAGGCTGGTCATCTTCGATATGTCCAACAGGAATATCGTAGTAAGCCGCCTGGGCGATGGTTCTTTGAAGCCATGGCGCAAGAGAGAAGTAGCGTAAGAACATCTTCTTTGCAATTGCGCTTTGCCACGGGAAAATGTCGAGAATATGGCTAGCTTTTGTCGAAGGCATGCGCAGAACCGGGAATCTGTTTAGCTTCGGCACTGAACTGCTAAAGTAGGTGAAGTCCTTTGCAGATGACAATACGATGGTAAAGGACTTCTTCTCCAGAGCTCCGAGCTCTCGTGATATGGCCTTCAAAGCAGTCGTCTCATTGCTGTGATAATCGGTCGATGATCTAAGTGCGTCGGGGTAGACATACGTCGAGAATTTACTGAGGTCGGAGCGTTTCTTCGCTAAAAGATCTTCGTAGGCGTTCTCAAATCGTGGGATGAGCTGCCGTCGAGTCGCTGAGTCCACCACGTGCAATTTCACCGTCCCATTAGGAAGGAATAAAGCATACACATGAACAGGCGCAGAAGCGGTGTATGCGTGATATAGAAAGAGGTATTTAAGAGGCTTGCCACTGTCGAGGTAAGGTTTCCTCAACGGGGAAGGCATCGAGCGGTCCATTTGCCAGAGGTCAACGCCATTATCTCGGGCTCTGTTAAGTGTGAGACCTTTTTGGTCGGTAATGCAGGTAGTCCCAAGCTTTACAAGAGCACGGACAACTAAGGGGACCTACAGAAGATCAGCATGTCAATATCCATTAGTTAGCATTTCGGGGGAAGATTCTCACCTGAAGCTCATAGGCGCCATCAACGTTCGGATTGTTGATCTCATTCGTGAAATGGCTTTCACCATTTAGGAATGTTTCCTCGGACATGGAGTACTTGTAGAGATGGAAACATGGACGATCACGAGGAAGGGTCCGGATGACTCGATCGCGTATATAGTGCTCCTCAAATTCATCCCTTCCGGGCGGTGCTTTGAAGTTTAGATAGAATTCACGGGGAATCCGTAATGTCACCGGTATCAGCTCGGCGTTCACGCACAACCACATGGTGAAGCGGCCACGACTAATAGACCTAATCTGCACGATGTCCCAGTGGCGAGTAATTACACTCCTCACTCCTCGGAACATCGATGGCACGGCCATTGAAGGATCTTCATTATCGCGAGCCTCTAATTGCGCTCTCCAGCGTTTCTTCACAGCTTTTAGCCACTTCGGATAGTTCTTGTAAGGGTTTGGAAGCCGGGTCTCAGATACAGGTAGATCATTGTTCTCGGTGATCTTGCGGGAGGCTTTCTTGGTAATGGCAATACGGTCTGAGGATGGACGATCACCATCTTCAAGGGTCAGATCCTCGAAGTCGGGCAGGTTCTGGGGCTGAGTGTGCGATTCATCGGCTAACGACTTCTTGAAAAAGTCCGTTACCTTGTGTTGCTTAAATTTGTCGTCGAGAGCAACGACACGTCGGTGAAGCCAGTCCGGATGGCGTATGCGAGGCACCGGATTAGGAACCTTTTGCATGGCGGCTGGGATGGTGATAAGTTTCTGGATGACGGAACCTAAACGCTCAATATAATAATCCCAATCCAGTATGGCGCGCAAGTCGAAACTTGCCAGACTATTATCCTTTAGCCATTTGCGAAGGTACGTCCTCTTCACGCTCTCTTCGGCAGAGAAGATGGCAATAGGAACCGCACGTTCGGTCACTGGAGCGCCTATCGGTTTCGCCGAAATTACGAACTTGCAAGCCAGGCCTTTATCCTTGACCATCTGGTCACCTAAAAACTCCGCAAGACGCCTTGCCGTGCTGATTGATGTTGATTTCTGGCCAGCGTACTCGGCGAGAGTTCTTGACATACTCCGGTTCTCCGCGATCAGCTCGACAAGCTCTTCATCACTCAAGCTTTCTGCTCTGCTGTACAGGACGTCCAGCCAGCGATCCGCTATTTCGGCGACAGCTGCATAGCATTCTTGAGTTGTCGATCCCAGCAAAAACTTCTCGAAGATCTGAGACTGAAAGATCTTGATGAGCTGTAACTCCCCGCGTCGCTTGACTTCAAATCCTTTCAGCTCCGCCAGAGACCCATCATCATTGAATACAGCGTATCGTTTCTTCAGCAATTTGTCCTCCTCTTTTGAAGACGGCAGGATCATTGCCTTGTACGGACCATCTAATTCGAAGAAGATCGAGTTCTCGCTATGGACCTTGTACTGACTAGTTTCTGGATCCAGGTCATGATATTGGTGGTTCGTGAATTTTGCATGGACGAGATGATTAAGCATTGTGCATGGGTACGAGAAGCCAATGGTCTTCCCATTCGCTAGTTGAAACTTGAAGTTCTCGGGGAAAACTTCGGGAAGCATACACCAGATACCGTCAGTATCAAGTTCCAAGGGACGACCAATTTGTTCGACGAGCTGACGAGCCATCTGGATGATCGTCGCTCCGGTCAGGCACGTTATTCCAGCCATCTCCATCGAATGCCAACGAGCGCCCTTTCGCATGACGTACCCATAGAAAGAATTCAGAATGCACTTGTGGGCTAGTTGAAGGGAATCATAGATAACAATCATCTTCTTCGCCTCCTCGACTTCAGCGACGGCCCCGTTAGAGCCAAGGCCATCTAGATTTTTCTTCCACGTTTTGTGCAGACCCTTGTATTCGTAACGACGATCACGGAAGCGCCGCACCGTATCAACGTAAAAAGGGTTTTCGCGTTGGCAAATTATAGTCTCGCGCTGCACAATACGTGTCTCTTTTGTTTTCTTGTACACCTTGCGAGAGTAATCACCAAGACGCTTATGTAGCAAAGCGCTCTGTTCAGCTGGAGACAACTCGTTAAAGCGTCGTTGAGGTCCGCCGGGACGCTTCGCAGGAAACTGTTCCTGATTTAATGCATGTCGAACCATGTTGTACTCGTCGCGCTGGGCAGGGAAATATTCTCCTCGCCACGCCCATGTCATGCGGCGATCACACGTCTTTCCGGGACGATTGTAATCACATACGGCACAGACTGACTCGTCGACCACGGAGTCAGGTTGAAGTCGATTCGACAACATGATGTTGGGATACATCGCAGCAACGTCCAAATGGTATATAAGCGGCTTATCGAATCGCAGGGGTTTGTCACGCATGAGTTCAAGAGCGGCCTGAATCTGGCCTTTGACCTGCTCGTAGTTTACAACATCGTCCATTGAACATTTGGATTCTTCAACAATACAGAATGTCAGAGCTGCATCAAGTTCGTCGATGAGCTAGTCGAACACACAGGTGAGAACAAATATCGACTATTTTAATTGAGCGCCTTACCTTCTGTGCTGCCTCCGGAACAATTTTAAAGTTAGTCGGGATATCACTTCTGAAAACTCCGGCCTCCAGAGCCTCGACGTGCCCACCGACGTAAGTTTCGGATGAAAGCAGGTGTCCCTCAAACATATTGCCATGAGGATCTTCATGTCTGTTCGGCATGATGATGTGACCTCTATACGCCTCCACCTAGAAAAGTAGGGGGTTCAGAATAGCATCGATGTGATTTAATAAGGCCAGCGGACCATCAATAGCGTCTCACAGAGCGTTCCGGTCCCTTTCCTTAACACTTCATCGGGATTGAGCGGAATTATGTTACACAGTGAGAAAATGAAAGGGTGCACATATTTCATGTACAGATAATAAGTCGCCACGGCATCGGAAACTGAGTACTGGGCGAGAGTCTGCGGTTGTTCCATTGCATAACTTCATGGAAATCTTAGTTCAATGGGTTAATATGATACGATGGAAAACTCACGGCGTCATAAGTTCAGGGTCCAATTCAATAGGATCATAGCCCAGTTTTGCAGTCGTGACGGCCTTAAGACCTTGACTACCTTGGGGCAGGTACGAATCACGCTTCACCCAACGGAAACAGTCCATGTGCACGCAGGTACGGCTCTTATATTCGTCTTCCGAGTCCTTTGAGAATCCAATTTCAAGGAACATATCAATCCCATGCACCATTGCCCGTGCACAGAGGAAGGGAAAATCGAAGAAGTCACCGTTGAATGTCGCTACGACAGTTGGTTTGACTTCTTGGAAGTGTTGGAAGAATCTCGTGATAGTCGCTGCCTCATCGGGTTCGTTAAAGATAGTGAATGGCCCTTCTAATCCTTCCTTCGGCGTATATTCGAAATCATCGATGTCTTCACTGACAATTTCGCGATTCGTGATGAGAAACCCCTGGCCGTCAATCATGTATGAAATCATCATGACTTGGTCTGTTGCACTATCGGGAAACTTGAGCGGCGCTTTAGTTGTCTCAATATCATATGCAAGAACGACGGGATCAGGTCGCTTCACGCGGTCCATTTGCGAGAATTGCGGCTGGCCAGCCGTGAACGAGACATTGTACCACAAACCAACTCGAAGTTCGTTATCGATCGCGACACGAAGATAATACGGAACGTCAAACTCGCGCACGTCTATTATGGCATCACGAGGATCTATATCTTTTGCGCTCTTGGACTGGCCATTCAAAGCATCTGCTTCCGCGGCCCACGAGGTCTCGACCTCCACCTGCATGTTTGATTCTGACATGTTGACAACTTCGGCGTATGCATCGACTGCACTGAGTTTTGCACCATTTTCCATCGCCAAGGGAACAATTTCGCGGCGTACTGCGAGAAGATCTGAGACATTGCGGAAGCAGAGTTGGAGATATAAGCGTCGATGACCCATGAGATGATTTGGAAGTTTGAGGTCTTCCTTTCGCTCTCTAACGATACGATATACCAGGCCTTCAAACTTCTTGTTGATCCATTCTTCTACAATGGTTTCTGTTCCGTTCTATAAAAGTTACATCAATATCCGCGCTAATAAGCAACAATGTTACCTACCTTGCAAGAAATGCAAAAATATGGATCGTATTGAAATGTGGTTTTGAAGAGGCCCCCGTCATTTTCTATGAAGTAGAAGTCCACGGCCGCTCTTCCGGACGGGTGATCTGGGTCCCTTACAAGAATCTAGAGAATTGTAGATGAGAAAGGATACAGAGGCGATTTTTAATATGTACCGACGGGATGCATGTTAACCAACCAGCCTTCCCGCCTAGGTCCTTCCTGAATCCTAGCAAACCCCAGTTTTTCATCCACTTCATCGTTTATTCTTATCTGTTCAAAGCGCTCGGCAAGTTGGGTACCCTCTTCATCCTTCGTAGGAACCGCGACGACCGCGTTCGCATTGGTGTTATTACGACCACCTCGACCTCGACCGCCTCTGAAGGATGATCCTCCGCGTCCATTGGCACGAAAGGATCCTCGCGCTCTGCGAGAAGAGGTGAGTCCAAATGTGCCGCTTCCACGACGCGACATTGTGACTGCAAGAGTCCGGAGTAGCTAGAGACGAGTGAATTGAAGAGTGAGTAGACTTCGCCCTGCAAGCACCGTGGAACGTGACTGACAACACGCTTCGTCACATTGTGTCATGTCACGACTCTCCGCCATCGATATTCTGATTCACGTTCGTACCACCATGAACAAAGAAGTGGAGATGCAAGTAAGGTCTATGTGAAATAGTACTTTTTGACAGCCTCCCATTTCTTTTCTTTTCGTAGGACAAAAAGGACGACTGGGTGAAAATCGTTAGCTCCGATGGTTTCTCCTTTGTGCTTCAGCGTGAAGTTGCAATGGGCAGTGGTCATCTCAAAGGCATGCTTGACAGTTCACGTAAGTCATTATAGGTAAATTATCCACGCAGACAGTCCTGACTGGAGTCTGCCCCAGATGGTGGGTTTGAGGAGTCACTTTCTGGTATCGTTCACGTTAGCGAAAGGTAATTGCTTCCCTAATGCTGTTTCAGCTGCGCCGTCTTCTCATCATATCACTTACCGATTGTTAGAGGCATCATCGTTGAGAAGTTACTTGAGTACTTAATGTATAAGAAGCTGTACGAAAATTCCCAGAACCCGAAGGATGTTCCTGACTTCCAGGAGAGGATTATTCCCGAGATCGCATTAGAGCTGTGCGTCCATCAGTTGTTCTCTAAACGGCGGGTGTCTAACCATTCCTAGGCTTGTGGCAGCAGATTACTATGATGCCTGACTTGAGCTCATACGAATATATATGTGTCGTTCTCGCCAAGTGATTGCACTGCCCCTTTCGTCTAGTAAACAAAATAGGTAATGTAGGCGGCTAATTCTTGTCTAGCCTGCACTGTATAGCTCAGTAAGTCACATCGGTGCTAATAGGATGCGCAGCCTACTGATACATGTTTACGGCACTCGTCAGTCCCACTACATGGATTTTTACTTTCTGCCACCCTAGACCCTACGACGCACAATAAGCAGTGCCTTGCATAGCTAGAATAGGAGAATATTAGTGCTCTGCCTCATGTCTTAAGCATAGGTCTTACGCATATTCGGCGTGGATTGTATTTTTGGAACGTAATAACTAGTCCCAAAGTTACAACGTCCCGTATCCCTTGACTCCACACAGCTTGGCGAGCCTTCACCGTGTTCGTCGATATCCATGCCGCATCAGGGATCTTTCACTGTACCTCTCTCTTCCGATGGGAAGGAGACAGTTCGTCTCGCACTGGAATTCTTTAACTTGAAAATTTACGCGGTCGCATCCATCACGCTCTCTTTCTCAGGTGCACCCAGGGAATTTGCAATTTGTAACCTGCAAGGCGCATTGGCTCTGTGCAGGGATACTACCACAAGGCAACTTAGCCTGCAGCTCATTGACCTCTATGCCTCTCCTGGAACAATAAACTGGCAGCGTGACCTATCCTCCACTGCGCAACTCAAGGAAATGAAAGAAGCAGGTGTCAAAAGAACGTACCTTCTGGCAGATGATGTAAGTGACCGAGTCCTTTCTATAAATCTATCCTCCTTATGAAGTATTGTATCCCGTTACAGGATACTCGTGCGACTTTAGTCTTTGCGGATGATGTGGAAGCATCGAAGTTTACGACGAAGTTTATCAGAACAACTCGTCGTGGCACGTGTCCTGCTGTCCAGGATTCCGCCGATTTGGCCATTGATTTAAGCAACCTTTCCCTTGACGATAGAACCATCCGGGGTTCTGAGTTGACGGCGAATGAAGACACTTTGGAGGGCGCCAGCCAATGTTCTCAATCGTCCGAAAGTCCTTCGCAGAATTTAGAATCCAAATGTAATGAAGAAGATCAAATAAACAAGTCGGATGACAAGCACATCACTGGTTCACAGCAAGACTCACATTCTGCAGGTACGTCGAAGAACGTGCAAACAGCAAAGGGGTATTTAACCTAACGAAATACAGACGCAGCGCAAGATGGACCTGATACGTGGATTTGCCATCTCAAAGGGTTTTCTTGTCGGCTTCCCGATTTAACGTCTAAACTGGAGTCACTGGAAGAGATTGCGCTATCCGAACCCAAGGGTAAAGGAGGCTGTGGAATCATTCGACGTGCTTGGCTACGTGACGGAACTAATGTAGCAATCAAAACCTTACTCATTGGCTCGCGTGACATGTTCAACAAGGACATGAGGGAAAGAAAGGTATGCAAGTTTTGTTTTATGATCTCGACGTGGAATCCTGTGTGGTTAACGTTCTTTAAGCGCTTTCGCAACGAAGTTGCCATGCAGAGCATACTGTCGCATACGAACATTCTACCCCTGTTAGGTATCGCAGAAGCGCGGGAGCATAAGTTGAGCGCTAGCTTGGTCCTTCCATGGATGGAGAACACAGATAGTCGCACATATTTGAAAAAGAATCCCCATGTACTTCGGCTACCGCTGGTACGCGTAAATTACCTTATTTGATTGCGCACGGCTCATGCATGACTATTGAACGTAGATATTAGGGACCATACGTGGCATCGCCTTTCTTCATTCCAAAAGAATTGTCCACGGAGACATCAAGGCGGTATGTTATGTAATTCATTCGAATCGGCCCTAGATAAAACTGGACAAATTCACAGAGGAACGTATTGATCTCGGATGATGGTACACCTCTTCTTTCAGACTTCGGATTGACGTCTTTTGCCGAAGAGGATGATCGTGAGATGTCCCATTCGATGGTGCCTGCGGGCAGCCCTGCTTGGATGGCAATAGAACTGCATGAATCGCGGACGCCTGCCTTAGCGGTCACAAAGTATTCGGATATGTGGGCATTCGGGATGACAATAATCGAGGTGCGTTCATGCTACATCCGAATGTGGTACACGAAGGAAATAAACAGAACACGTATTGTGCAGCTCCTCACGGGTAAATCCCCTTTCCCATCTGGAGGAGCTTGGAAAGTAATAATGTACCATGACTACGACAATTACCCGAAGAAGCCTACGGCAGAGGAATGTACTGACACACTTTGGGAGTTAACTCAGAGGTGTTGGAAAGAAGAGCCCACTTCACGGCCGACAGCAGACGAGTCAGCTCACCTTATCGAATCGATTCCCGCACCCCTACCATCTTGAATATGCAACTCGTGTGGAACCTAGTACATGGGCGTTCTCTCTGATCTTCCTATTGGATCCTTTCACGACAGCATTTGAGCTGAGACTGCCTCATTCGTTTTGACCTTGTAAATACCATATTCTCCCAGTTCAAGCAACTTGTCCGATCAACTTGAAGTGTTCCTAGTTACGTACGTCTTGCATGCTGAACGCCTTTGATAGGCGCTTGTTAATGAACTTCTTTCGGGATACTCGGGGCGGTCTTGTACATGAGGGCGGTGTCGCGATACACGCCGGCTGTGCACCATTTGGGAGAAATAGGCGCCATAGCTGTATAACTCTGTGCCTCTCGTGATCGATAAGCTTGGTTCTTCGTTGACTTTCTTTGGAACCTAGGATGCGAGGAATGCTTGTTCGCGATACAAGGTTTACACGTGTTGGTCTGGACGAAGATGCTTTATTTCGGACTTGGGGCGATACATACTTCTCTTTTGCTCATGTTATGGGTTACTATATTGAGAATAATTACAGAACCCCTATATATAAATCTGTCAGATAAGCAGCGTCCAGGACTAGTTTAACCATCCGAATTCCGTCGAGACACTATGCTTACCGCGACTCCGACACATGTTCAACATGCGCTCTCGCTGCCTCCACAGTCACAGCTCATCCTTGTCAATGATGAAGGAACGCCTGTGCATTCATATAGGGTGCGTGCTAGGCTCATGTCCTGAGTGATAGATCCGTTCAAATCAGCTGCTTTGCAACATCTCAGAAAAAATCAATTGAACATACATGCGGAAATAACAATGGGAAGGCACAAACAACAACATCTCCGTTGCGAGCATGTAGACGCTTAGAAAAGCGTAACAGTTCTCGCGTGCAGTCCAACACAAATGATACTATTTCAGCGACTCCCGAAGACTCAAACAATGGACATCCTAAAGAGAGTCTCCTGGCATCGGGGAAATATGATACTGTGTCCGCTCCCATGGTCCGGAGTCGGACGTTGGATACACGGACCGAACGGGTGATGGAACAGTGTCGTCGTAGCTCAGCACCGCCTCAGATGCAGAATGACGCCCATCCGTCCCAGGGTCCGGAGGCAGAAAGTTCCAGTCACGAAAAAGTGGAGAAATGGTTGAGGACACAAAGTCGTGAAAATGTTGAACAACAGCTTGGCTCTTCAGCACCCCCGCGTCTCGTAGTTCAGCCACCGGACGAAATTTCTCCAACGGAGGAGGCTAAAGAGAGGTACTGGCCGTCGTCATCCCCAGTTCGTCGATACCAGGCCTCCGATTCTCTCTGCATTCCTGGGCCAAGGCAAATTACAATTTCGGGGAACGAGGCTGATGAAGTGCACTCGCCTTCACAGGATTGCCCTAGGATTTGGAGGGCAACAATTGGTAACAAGGAATATGAAGTCACTGATGTTACAAGTGACGTTACCGACATTGTTAGAACGGAAGGGGATGAAGGCGGCTTCGGCTACGTGCGACGAGGAACACTCCATGGACAGGACATTGCCCTCAAAGAAATGAAACTAAGTTATCAGCTTCCTCCCTCAAAGAAGAGTGAAATGAAAAAATCGAAGGCATGAATGACCAAATATTCTCAATGCATTTGTAATGCTCACCAATAGTATAGCGCTTTCAACGGGAAGTAGTAATTGCAATGCTACTTGCTAAATCACACCATCCGAATATGGTGAAGTTGATTGGCATTGCGATATCCCATGACCTTGGTGCATGTCTGGTGTTTCCTTGGATGGCGAACGGAGATAGCCTTTCCTATATCCAATCCAACGACGTCCCTCGGGTTCCATTAGCAAGTTGTCGTCGAGTTCTACACATATATAATCAACCTAACAGCCTGCTTTAGATTCGCGGAACTCTCGAAGGTCTTAGATACCTTCACAAGCGAGGCTTTGTACATGGAGATTTGAAAGCTGTAAAAGCGTTTTGACTCGCATGCTTAAAACTTGTTGACAAGGCTTTTGGCAGCGCAACGTTCTGATTTCCGACGACGGTATTCCATTAATATGTGATTTCGGGCTCTCAACATCTACCGAGCTTGATGACGAGCAGCCGTCAAAATCCATCCAGCGTGCGGGGAATGCCCAGTGGATGGCGCCAGAGGCGCTGATGGATGATGTCCGAAAGTGGACGAAAAAGTCTGATATGTGGGCCTTTGGCATGCTCATGATTGAGGTTACCTATTCATTTCTCGCAATAGAATACTTCACGCTTACAAGGATACACATAGATCCTGACTGGCGATTTACCATTCCCAAATGGGAACGAACCATCCATACTTTTGGATATTAAACGAGGTCGTCTTCCGTTGCGACCCACACATCCTGAATGTTCGGATGCGTTGTGGAGCCTGATTCAGGCTTGCTGGGAAATGTCACCAGATGAGAGGATCACAGCCAAGGCAGCACTCGACCGGATGAATCAGATATAAATATGCGGCAGGAATACGGAGAATGGGTACGTTATAAAATATTAGAATTAGCAGAGGCGAGCTAGGTATCTGTGTCGAACTTGAAGACGCCGAATCAAATGATTCAAATCAAATGAGCAACACCTTGAACAAGGTCTTACACATGTATTACATAATCCACCTCATTTCTCGGTCAACTCCTCGTGCTTTGAACTCGTGCTACCAAGTCCTGTCCTGGGACGCGGGTTCGAGGCAAACTTTCTGCTTCTTCTTCTTCCTTCCACCAGTATCTACTCCTGTTATACGTCGAACAGTCGCAATTCTCTCATTTTTTTCTGCCGTCGTCAGCTGCGTCAAATAGCCGCAATGCCGTTCCAATCGACGATGACCGCCGATGAGAAGAGCAAGGTCAAGAACGTCCTCTCAGGGAACAACAAAATATTCATGGCCACAGTTGCGCGTATATACTATGCCCATCCGGATCCGAATTCCTGGACTTTCTCTGGCAGACAGGGCGGGCTGGCCTTCGTCAAAGATAAGAATAACGGCCTCTACTATTTCCGGCTAGTGGACCTTCAGGGCACAACTGGCATCCTATGGGAACATGAGCTCTATGAGGGCTTCACTCTTAACGAGGACAGGCCATTTTTTCACTCGTTCGCAGGCGACGTGCGTAATGTTTCTCTTAGGTTTTTGTTTAATTTTGTTAGGGCTCGGATTTGACGCGCGGTTCGTTTGTAGGATTGCATGATTGGTCTAGTCTACTCAGACGAGAGTGAGGCAGGCTCGATGATGAAGGTAGTTACGAAGAAGAAAAGCTCTCTCGGTATGTTCTCTATTAGTCTATGTTTATTGAGGGTCAAATATGGCGTGCCAATGAAGTTTGAACACCGTATGGAGGTTATGGAGTGCAGCTGGATTTTCAGTTATGGGCATTTTGGACTTCGGGTAGCGTGAATCATGCGAGCAGCCAATGTCTGAGGCTGCGGGCATGCCTGCGGAAAATGCTGCGGCCAGCATCACTCCGCGGCAACTTTGCAATACGCGAAGCTCATGTCAGAACTCCTCGACGCACCATATTTGGCCGTCAATGACCTGTCTAAATTTTTGCTAATGATCTACATACAGGCAAGGCCAAAATTGAGACTACCAAAAAGAAATCAAAAAGCGGAAAGAGCGGGAAGATCTCGAAGTCCATGATTTCTGGTCCACAGGCAGGCTCGTTCAAGCATGTTTCGCACATGGGTTACGACCCCGAGAAGGGTTTCACTTCTGAAAACGTTGACCCGTCATGGATGACATTCTTACAGCAACTACAGCAGCATGGTGTCGATGCCACACTTATCCAGGAGAACATGGACTTTATCCGGGACTTCGTACGCGATGCACAGGCTAAGAAGCCAAAGGCGATTCCGAACGCACCTGCTGCAAAGAAGCCTTCACAGAAGCCACCTATTCCCCCTACACCTGCATCGCGCAAAAAGTCACAGAAGGGTCCGAAGCCTCCAGCACCACCAGTCCCGCGAAGAGGGGCTCATGCACAACAGGATTCAGTATCATCAGTGCAAACGCCTGTCGAGTCTCCCGTTCAGGCGAGTCCTGTGCCTCCTCCAGCTCCACCAGCACCTCCTGCGGTTTCCACACCTATTGCGCCTCCACCACCGCCAGTCCGAGCCCCTCCTACCGCAACGCCGCCTCCCCCACCTCCACCCGTGGCACCTTCTCGTCCTCCTGCTCCTCCAGCTGCAGTTCCGCCACCCCCGCCCCCACCTCAGGCTAGTTATGTTCCGCCCCCGCCTCCACCTCCACCCGCAACGGCAGCAGTTCCCCCTCCACCCCCGCCACCTCCAGTAACGGGAGGACCTCCTCCACCTCCACCCCCACCACCTGGTGGTGCACCATCACCTTCGGCAAACTTACCAACTCCTCCGCCTGGCCGTTCCGCGCTCCTTGAGTCAATCCAAGGCAAGGGTGTTCATTCATTGCGGAAAACAGAAGGGCCGAAGGAGAGTTCTCCGCTTGCAGTTGGCCGCGTTGCGTCTCCCGGACCTCAGGCGCCTGGAGGTGGTGCCGTGCCAGCAGCGGAAGAGTCACCTGCTGCTGCAGGTGGTGGCGGTGACCTTGCTGCTGCACTCGCAGCGGCGCTAACCCAAAGAAACAAGAAGCTAGGCGACAGTGATGACGAAGACGACGAAGAGGAGTGGGATTGATGCGGCGGTGCAGTTGTATTTCGTAACTGGTGCATTTAGGCGCGGAGCGCCACTATACGCCTTTGACAGGGCATGTAACGAGGAATTGTGGGCCGTTGTACCGATACGTGCAGGGAAGGTGCTTGTGCAAGCTGTTGTTGTACGCTGTGTTGTATGTAGGGATACTGGGGTGGATTTGCAATTGGCCAGGCCTGTGCATGTTAGCGAGGGAGGAGCCCAGGTTATTTCTATCAACTTTGTTGTTTGTGTTATCTGTCTTCAGTTACCGTTGTCCTCTTCCTGTTCTTTCATTTTCCTTTGTCTTAGCCTCTTATTTTCATCCATTGTCATTTTCCTGTCGCTGCACATCACTAGTACATTTTCGGTTTGCATGTTTCTTAATGTATGTACATATTGGACTCTGGACCAATAGATGCTATTTGTTTATTTGCATATACCATAGCTATGTTTTGTGGGTACAGGGCCCGTTTAAGAATAGGATACAGCAACTGGTACTGGGTTTAATATCGATGTTTCATTTTCTACTTGACGCCCATCTTTACCATTCGTGTTTAGACTGCACTGATTTCCTGTGAGGTAGTCCGACAAGGCACAAGCTGCTTGTTTTCCTTCTAATTAGCAGTGTTGCAGTGCTTGGCGCAGTCGGTAAAAATAGCACACAGACAAAAACACAGTGTAAGAGTGCAGACATAAATAAATTACAAAAAGAATAAGCCAAACGCGATCGCTGGAAACCTGAAAATAAGCGGATTATTTTGTTCAATCCTTAAATTACACATATTCTTGGGCCCAAATACTTGATGCTGACGGACTTGTGTTGTGCAGAGAATAAAAAGAGGCCGGAGATGTCCGAGAGATCGGCGCAGTTTGGGTAGCGAAGGCATCCCATCAAACGACGCGACCCGCTATCCAATAAAGCCCTTACCCTGTCTCTTCCTGCTTGTCCACCACCCACCACCCACCTCTCCGTCTTTCTGTTCTCTCATCTCTCAAAACAAACCTCTCTACTTTACTTTACCCCTTCTCTCGTAAACCGTAGGTATGGCTGATTCATTGGTGAGTGGACATCGATCAGTTCGCGTTCGTTGTACGATGACGCTGAGTGGGTTTCTTTTGGCGTATTTGTGCTACTCGTTGTTCTGGTCTGAACTCCAATGCTATCTATAGTCTGAGGGTATGTATAAATCTTTTATCACTTTAGAATAGAGCGAATCCACGCATATATGCATATATGCGTGGATTCGTCTCATTGTCTTAAATCTCTGGCGTTGATGGTCTTTTGTGTATATGCGTGCTGACTGCTTTAAATTCCACAGAGCAAATTTCTGGTGAGAAAGCCATGCTGATTTTTCTCGACTGGCTCTTAAGTGCTCATCGTTGTTGACCATTTTCAAAAGAATTCAAGGAGGCGTTCTCGTTGTTCGACAAAGGTACGCATTTTTATATTTGTCTTCTTGTTGTTTGAGCGCTTATCGTCTGTAGACAATGATGGCACCATCACCACGAAGGAGCTGGGAACCGTGATGCGCTCATTGGGTCAGAACCCAACGGAGGCCGAGCTCCAAGACATGATCAATGAGGTCGACGCCGACGGGAACGGGACGATTGATTTCCCCGAGTTCCTGACGATGATGGCGCGCAAGATGCGTGACACAGACTCGGAAGAGGAGATCAAGGAGGCGTTCAAGGTATTTGACCGTGATAACAATGGGTACATTAGCGCTGCGGAGTTGAAGCATGTCATGACAAACCTTGGTGCGTTATCGTTTTCTGTTTAGTGGTGTCAATTGTCTTTTGTGTGAGGAATGTGGGCTGATGGGACAAAATTGGTTATGTAGGTGAACGTTTGACTGAGCACGAGGTTGACGAGATGATCCGTGAAGCGGATGTCGACGGTGATGGCCAAATCAATTACGAAGGTACGATTTATTTGCCACATAATTGTCGATTTTCATTTTAACAGCGTGGTTTACCTGCTCTACACGTACAGAGTTTGTAAAGGTGAGTTATTTCAACTTCATCAAAACTACTGTAACCCGTGTCACCTAATTGTCTTTCCTTACATAGATGATGCTTGCGAAGTAAAGGAGTATCTGTCTTAGAAAAAAGGAGGCAGTAACTATGATGTAGTCTTTGCGTGTCTGTGTTCTCTATGATTGCTTGTCCCTTTTGTCATATTGTACGCTAAGTAAACCGAAAACGTATTGAATGTGCTTATTTCTCTCTTTGCTTGCCTAATTTCTTTGCGCCTTGCGAATCAGTAACTTGATTTGGAATACTGCATCAGACGCAGGCCCCTGTTTGAGACGGATCATGGAGTGGAAGATGACGTCAGACGTTTTGGGCGCATATAAGCAGCTTAGCATACCGCAGCTACTTTACTTTGCAAAGGCCCTTGCTCAACGACGACCGCCACGCCACACCTGCCGTCATCTCTTGTACCTCAAACGATATACATAACGCACCTACATCTAACCACCTAGAACGTGTATAAGATGACTGGATTATTGGACAAGATTCGTGATAAGATATCCAGTTCTGGGTCTCAGGAGAAGAACCAGCCGAAGGAGAGCAGCGGCAACATGATTTCGAGCACGAGCCAGAAGTCGTCGGAGGGGGAGCAGGTGTACTCGACCTTGCCACATGATGCTGTACGTCGCCTTAGTCGACCACGCGAATATCCACTCATTTTTTTACAACTTACACATGCTATTGTACGCAGAAAACGAACAACCCTGCAGACTTACAACAACCCGGTTCGGAGGAGCAGTCGTTCCAGCCACCCGATTTGAATGCAGAACAAGCTGCCGCGATAAATGCTCTCAAGTCGAACCCTGGACCTGTTATTAGTGAGGAGGTTGGGAAGCAACCTGTTACCGTGCGTTCAGTTTCTTGACTCTGCGATCCTCTGCCCTTCCAACCGTCCAGGTCTTCTTTGGTTGACCTTGACTGTCGTTTCCTTTCTCTTCAATTTGTAGGATTCTGCAGATCTCAAGGCAAAAGCAGCTGAGCTGAACAAGGATGATTCGAATACAAACCAGGAATCGTCAGGGCCAGTGTTCTCGATCTTGCCACACCCCGCTGTACGTTTCCTTCCTCATCTTGCTCGCGAGGCAAAACATATGCTCTGACTTACACTTACTTACACTCTTTAACATACCTAGAAAACGAACAATCCCGCAGACTTAATACAAGACGGTTCGTTCGTACCACCGGATCTGAATGCGGAACAAGCTGCTGCAATCAATGCGCTCAGGGCGAATCCGGGACCTGTTATTAGTGAGGAGGTTGGGAAGCAGCCTGTTTTGGTGCGGTTTTCTCTTGCTTTTATGCTCTTCTGGTAGTTTGTGTTTACCCTTGGCTGACGTGGTTTTCTGTTTCTCCCTCCTCGCGTTTATAGGACTCGGCGCAGGTCGATGCGAAGGCAAAAGAGCTGAATAAGTGAGGCGTGATGTAGATGCCTCCGCCGGAGATGTGAAAGGTGTCGTCAGGTCATCATAAATTTTTGTGGCGTTATGGTTGTATCATACTGTATTGTTAAATATTTCACCTTCGCCTTCATATTGTAATGCTGTAAATACCGCATCTGCATGCTATTGGGAAGAATCAGCTTTTGGATGTAGAATGTTAGGTGTCGAAAGAAGTTGAGAAATGTAATAAAATAAAAGGATTCTCGTGGCTTGTGTGCTGCGATAGATACGGCTCTCCCGAAAGACATTTGAATGGATGAGCAGCACTCTCTCTAACTTGGGCTGTAAGGCCCCTGATTATGTGAGGAAACAATTCGGAGTCAGACGCGACGCGACGCGTTGGGTCTTTTTCACCTCTCAGGTTCATCATTTCTGATGGTTTGACGACTTCGTGACTTGGCTTGCTCGTTTCTTTCTGGTTAGTAAGTATATACTTACATTATCGTAGCCATGGTTTATAAGCTCATATTCTGCTTGTCCCATGCGTAGTGCTAGATTACCTGTCTCCGACTCTTGGACTGGACATTACTAATTGATACGCCTATTCTCTGAACATCACTAATTGACGATATCGAGAAATGTGGAATGTAGTCGACTTACGCCTCACTCACTTCGCGCCTGGACTACTCGTCCCTCTCTCATCCTATCCAGCACTCATCTCCGGCTTCTTACTACTCTATGCATCTATCTACACGCACACAATCACAGCACAATCTCTACAGGCTCAGTGCACCTTGACACGCCTCGTGCTTGCTCCTCCAGCTATCTTGCTATTCTGGAACTTTGGGTTTAACGCTTCCTATAACGCGCCTGGCGTACAAGTCGCAGTTGGTATGGCCGTCGTTGGGTTGTATGGAATCATGAGGGTTATCGATACGTGTATCGTCCCTTTGATTGACCCAATTCCATCTGTTTGGATAAGGAAAGAAGAGGGAGTACCGATGCCAATTCCTACGAGTACGAAGGAGCGTCTCATCTATACGTTCGACCTTGCGACTTCTTTACGTGGAACAAGTTGGTTTTCAGACCGCCATTGGAATTGGGTTCCAAGTCCTTTGGTCAACGCCTCGACGACTCATCTAACACGTAGAGCATACCTTTCAACCACCCTCCTCTCATTCGTCGTACAATACCTCTTCATGGACGTCATAGACTCAATCAACAAGTCACGGACTTGGGACATCACACAACGATATCCAATCACGTCACTTCCCTTCCCCGAACAAATGGTATTCGCAATCTGCGTATGTGGGAGCACGATACTCTCCATATCCGTAATGTACACTCTCGTCGCGCTCGTAGCCGTTTCACTCGGTTCCTCACCCGTAAATTGGCCACCGATGTTTGATCGACCTTTTCATTCGGGTAGTTTGAAGGAGTTTTGGTCGAGGAGGTGGCATGCGATTTTTCGTCGTGTTTTTACGCGGGTTTCCCTCCTCTTACTCCTACCAATTCCGAAGAAATGGCAAAGTGTGAGGATCTTTATACGTATGCTGATTATCTTCGTGCTATCAGCGGGTATGCACGTTATGCTAATGTACCGTCTCGAACGCGAACCGTCAAGTCATACACACGCTTCCTTGGTACAAATCTTCACCGACCCATCGATTCTGGCGTTCTTCCTTCTTCAACCAGTTGGTCTTGCCGTTGAGGCTTTAGTCGTTCTCCCTCTTGTCTCTAGTGTACCAACAGCAAGGAGAGAGAAAGAGGAGAAAGACCGGAAACTGAATTGGATTGGTATGGCGCTGATGCGAGTGTGGTCTTGGGGATTCATGCTTTGGGCTGGACGATTTTGGAGCGATGCGTGGGTGAGAAGAGGATTTTGGGAGGAGAGAGAGCATGTTGTTGGGTGGAGTCTTGTAAGGGGTGTTTTGAAGGGGGAGTGGAAGGCTTAAAGCTACTTAATGTATAGTAGATCTATACTCGTAATATGGTGGTGGAATGGAGATACATGTCGGGACATGTTGGATGCAGTATGTTAAAGACAAACTGCCTAGATACCCGGATTTGTAGAGACTATTTGGTGGATATCCTCACAAATTACTGTGCATCGGAAACCAAAGGTTGCTTGGTATATCGATGCAAGTGTTGCCAACGGACAACGGGGACTTCGGGGACCTCGTCCGTATGCGTAACTATGCTTTGCTTGCGCGTAAGGATAGAGTCATTGCTTCATTATATGTAACAAACGAATGACAGAACGTATGCTACGAAGAAGAATATGTACAAATGGATATCCAGTGGTGTGTAGAGTCCAAGTCCTCGGGACAGGGCGATCACATAATAACGCAGCACCTGTTTTGCTATAAGACGGGTTAGTACATTCGCCTTCATCATCATAAAAATCATACAAGGACAAGAAGAAGCTCACCCTCTTAGCAGTAGTGTAAAATCTTTTACTCTGCGCCCCAAGCATCTCCGACCTAACGACAAGGTCATCAAGCTTCTCTCCACGTTTCAAAACAGATTCGATAGTCTGGTGCATGACGAGTTTCGTTTCGTCGAGTTCTCCCTGGAGTCGCATTATAGCATCTGCGTTGCGCGGGTCTTGATATTGTTGGAGGTAATCCTTGAGATCGGGGAAGGAGATGGAGGATGGGTTGGCGTAAGAGGACGGGAGGACTTTAGTGGAGAATGTTTCGAGGGTCTTGGTAAGGACTGAGAAGGCGGCACGTCTAGGGTACTCTTTATCTGACACCATTACACCTATGATACCACAATGTTAACACAAGATCAATACCCCGAGAGTCTGAGACGAGAAAGACAGACGTACCAGCGATCGGTTGCTCACCACCGCGATTATATACGTGGAAGACATACTCGCTGTCCTGCTTGTCGACATCTGTGAAACTCTGACGCTCGCCAGGGGATGTTCGCTCTGCAACCAGCCCGCTGAAGAAGGCGAGGAACTCTGCGATTGTACCTCGTTGGTAGAAGGAGAAGGAGGAGAGATCTGATGCGCTGGAAAGCATTTTAGCGGAGCCTCCTTGCGGGGTGTTGAGTATTGAGATGGCATAGATCTTCATGGTGGATTGTAGTAAGTTAGATGACCCGAGGAGACGATAGCAGCGGACGTCGACGTTGCAGACAGCGAGTAACACGGAAGACTCAGGCTAAAGCAGTGAAGTTAGGGACTGCAGTGGAAACCGTCACCAAAAACCGCAATCCGCAACCGCGGATAGGTTATCCGCGGTTGAAATTCTCACGGTAACCGCAGTAACCGCGGTTACACTGCCAACGTTCGACTCCATACACTACTTTTTTTGTTTTCGTTTTTTCCTCTTTGTTTTTCAACACAAAACACTATTTTTTTTACAAGAAGCAAATATTTG